GCAAGGTAAAATGTGCCTGAAGTGAATGCGAAGTTGTGAAGGAATGTGACAGTCAGAATGATCACTAGATGATTCATATGAGATGTCAGAAATCCTTCCACGCGAAGCAAGCTTCTTACCAACAGTGAGACTTTTGAATACGGCAGGCGGGAACAATGCCTCGCGTGTGGTGTGCACTTCATAGAAGCCACCACAGGCTAGTATCACAGGGCCTAGAGTGACCAGCAGGAGTGTTGATGGTGATGTCCCTGCATGATGGTGAGCAAAATGTTTGTACTGAATATCGATAGGACCTGCATCCACTGCTCATAGCGAAGCTGAAACCAATAACCAAACAGCTGGTACCCAGCATGAAGAGAAGACTGATAATATGATGAGCATGGCACAAGAAAGCAAAATTATATCGTACAGTCCGATAAAATCAAACTTTTTGGTGAAATTTTTCCATGACGCATGCTTAGCGTGTCCGAGCGTAACATTTCGCAATGACACTGACAGCAGCAAGAATGCGAAAAGGCACACAGGCAAATTCATGTAAACTAATAACCCGGAGTTTGAGATTGATACATAGCAAGGGGATGAATGACATACAAGCCCATCTCCAATTGATTGTCGTGGAGAAGCCAGCTGCGGGGGTGAAATGAGATTTAGATCTAAGATTCGTTATAGCACTTACTGCTGAATAATCCTCCGAGTATTGGACCCGCAACTGCAGAACAGCTCCAAGTAACACTAAGAGCCTGAGACCACTTTGCTCTATTTTCTGGTTCGACAATTTCTGATGTGATAACCCAGACGGAACTGACGATACCACCGCCACCGAGACCTGCCAATCCGCGGAAAATTATCAGGAGTGTAATATTCTAGAGAGATAAAGATCAGGATATCAAATTCAGAATAATCCAAAGTCAAACAACCTTTGCAGCCCCGCACAGCAAGGATCCGAGGGCGAAAATCATCATGCTGACATACAAAACGTTCTAGTAATATAGCGAGTAAATCCATTCAGCCTCCTTCAAGTTTGAAAAAGAACACACCTTTCTTCCTACCAAATCGGACAGTCTTCCGTACAGGGGTTGGCCAGCTGTTTGGGTCAGCATATATGCAACCCCAACCCAGGTATATTGACTCTGGGAGGCCCCGAGTTCGCTGACTATTGTCGGTAGAGATGTTGACACAATAGTCTGTATGTTGGCTTAATGCCTAGCACTCAAATTTAAGAGAGGGATACGCACAGAATCTGTGGTGGCAAGAAACAGTGTCATTGCGGCCCTGAGGTTCGATCACATACTGATAAGCGAACAGCAATTCGAGCAGCGTGAAATATTACCCGATGTGTACGAAAAGCAGTCGGGACACCGAATGTTTCGGGGCTTTCTGGATCTCGTCACGAGAATCAAGAGAGGCACAATCGCTGGCGTGTGCTTTGTCCGATGATGCAGACGCATCATCCGAACATGACGAGCATGAAGGAAGATGAGTTGGCATAGGATTAGCTGCATTGTCTAAAGACATTTCAAGGAACTTGCAATAAGAGAGAGCACAGTAAGAAAGGCTGCTCGAGGTTTAACGTTCTCCTCGTCTTCGTTGCCATTTTATACAAGGACCCTTTGGTTTGGTGGTGGCTTCGATGAGATCTGGCATAACTAGATTTCGAAAAAAGAGCTTCTTTGGCTTTGGAACTATTCCTCTTGTGACCCTTTGACTTGCGGTCCGCAGACAGCGGTGAATGTGCGCTGGCATTAGGCTTTACCAATGATGATATTAAATTCGATCGCATTGTGAAGCCTTTGTGGTAAGAGTCCAGCCCGCAACAAAGAAGAGAAGGGGCCTTTGACAGCATGCATTACTGCAGTCGATAGGGTTGAATTTGCCAAAAGATGAACATTGCCCAGTGTGGGGGAGTCAGGTCAAGCACGCTCGAGCTACCTCGTTGCGCATGCCTTGATGGCATCTAAACTTCGGACACAGAACTCTCTTGAAGAAGATCAAGTTGAGATCGCCGCGCACTAGGTTAATTCTTTTCAGTTTCGAAGTTCCAGCAAGGGACAGAAGAGACGGATCGAGAAGTTACTATTAAGTACTAACATTAACTTGAACTGAAAGCTCGATTAATGTTGAATGTTGGCACCGCGGCACCTGCCTATACAGCCACAAACACGTTTAAACAGAATTACTATTAGGTACGTTTACGGCCTCCATGCAGTTTCAGGGCAAACACTAAGTCACTCTCTTTTAAGTTCACAGGGCTTGTTCCACGCAAACATCGTATGGTAGTTGCAGGGGAAACTATCCCATTAAAGTGTGTAGTTCACTATGCTTCTATGGATCTTCTCTAAGCCGTAGCCCTCCTCCTGTGCTCACCCTCCGCGTTCTCCGATAGCCCACTGCTTTTTGCCAGATCCCCGGCATCCAGTTCGTCTGCTGATTGAATTGAGAAGCGACAGGTAGTAGATAACGAAACGTCGTCAGGACGGACCAAAATATGGATAAATCAAGACCCAGTAAGCCTTCGTATCCTGTTCCATGTGCGAGACACCCAGCCACCCACGGAAGCCGGTGACGGATGAGAAAATGAAGTCGTACCATTGTTATCACCCATTAAACTGGTATCCTTCGCATCTGGTATGCTTGACTGAGCACTAGTCGAGGCGCCAGTGGGCGGAACTGGATCATGTTTTGGACTGTTACTCCGACCCTCAACGTCGTCCGCATATTGCTCCAAAATTTCCCGTTGTCGTTTCGTTAAAGATCTATAGAAAGTGGGTTACGTAGGCGCTGACGAACATCAATTTCGCTCACCTTGGAAGCTGCACGGAGAAAGAAATAAAAAGATCTCCCTTATCACCACCAAAAACTGACGGGACACCATGGCTTCTTAGGACCATCTCCTCGCCATGTTGAGTACCATTGGGTACACGAACGTCCACATTTCCATCCAGTGTCGGCACACGAACACGGCCGCCCAAGAGTGCAGTATGCAAAGGTATGCGCACTTCGTGGTGAAGGTTTGCACCTTGTCTGCGAAAAACTTTGGACGGAGCGACGTTGACCCTGACAAGCAAGTCCCCGTGGCCGCCCTTGCCTGATAATGGCGCATCGCCTGCATTCGGGATGCGGATGGTCATTCCGTCTTCCACCCCTGTCCAATATATTAGTTACCGGAACGAAAGCGATGTCCAACTCCTGACCTGGTGGGATATCTACCTTGATGCTTTTTTTCGTTCGCACATAACCCTGACCACCACAATCAACGCATTGACTTCCGCGGGGAATGGTAGAACCAGAGCCAAGGCATGTCCCACAAGTACTTGCCATCTGGAATCCACTATCTATCACAAAAGTCTTGGTACCAGTACCATTGCATGACCCGCAAGGTACACGCTTGGCACCATGTCTCAGGCCTGTACCAGCACATGTCGAACATGTTGACAAAGCGTTGACATTTACACTTAGAGTCGTTCCTTTGCAGGCGTCCAAAAACGAGACGTTGATGCGTGTCTCAATGTCTGCTCCTCTCGCACTTTGGCTGAACCCGGAGCGAGCTCGACCCCCGAAGGAACCGCCGAACAACTGGGAGAATAAATCGCCTTGACCTGAACTTCCGCCAAATGCCTCGCTGAAGTCTCTAAAACCACCAAATCCGCTTGCACCTCCTGCAAATGGATTTCGAGCAAAGGCATTAGGGTCAAAGCCTGGTTGCTGGGATGCAGCGCCATATTGGTCGTATGCAGCCTTCTTTTTCTCGTCTTTCAAAATCTTGCATTACAATGTAAGACACAGCACGTATAGGTCAATGAAAATGTGGTAAATGACGTACGTCGTATGCTTCTTGTATCTCCACAAACTTTTCCTGCGCTCCTTTATCAGGATTTGTGTCCGGGTGATACTTTCGGGCGAGCTGCAGAGTTTGGTAATTAGGGCGACACGCATCAATTAATTAGTTCCGATGCGCACAGCAAAATACGTTTTCTTGATTTCCGCCGGAGATGCGTCTTTCTTAACACCTAAAACTTGATAAGGGTCCTTGGGGGGAGCAGGCAGCGATGCAGAGGCATGAAAGGCGCGCTAAGACATAACAGTCAGTATGACGTGACAACTGTAAATCAGACCTTGTGGCAAAATTGTGACAAACCCTCTGGCCTCGTGCGCTGTGGCCATCGCGGCCAGCTCGGTAAGTTGAGAACGTCCGGGTGTTCGGCCTAGTTTGTTGTCGAGCACAACCATAAAAAGAAATGAACGACGAAGCTGCAAGTGACCGCAAGTGAGGGATCATTTACAATTGTGCCTTTTGACCCAAATAGCAGCGAAGCAGCAGAGGTAAGTTGGAGAGAACACAATATTGTACTATTTGCGCCCAATAGAAACGTGACGAATTTTGGATGTACAACTATTTGCCCTGCTGACTAATAAGCTCACTCTGTACCACGACTCCCATGTAGGTCCAAGTACTGAGCGAGGACAATTGAATGGAGCTTCACACAGTTATATGATTTGAATGTCTTCTGAACCAAAGATCGTATCCATATTTGATTTTTCTAAGTCTTTCGAAGTAATCGAGGGTCAGAATTTATGACGCTAGCACGTTGAGAGAAGCGCGGCAAGGACAAGCGTACCGAACCAGTATGTGTACATGGGTAGCTAGATAATAGCTATTCCTGCTTGGAGCTAGAATCCCCTATCGAGTAGCTTAGCAGTCCGATTCACGATTTATAGGCCCACCTGTCCATGGTCTCATAACCTGTTGATCAAATTACAGAAGCACACGTAAATCGCTTGCAAGGAAGGTCATTTCCAACAGTGCTCGGTTCCTCTTTCAAATCTACCGTTCAAGCTTAGACCATCTAATGATCTGGGCTCCCCTGGACGTATTACCGCTGTTTAGTATTAGCATTCGACTGGAAGCAATGATGCGGATGATACGGACCGTGGTGAAGGAAGGTAATAACGCTGATAATTTTTGATCAGGCGAAATCGGGTAACGCGTCTGTTTGGGCTATTCGGGAGCGCCACCAACTTTTTCCATAGGATACTAAGATCTCATCGCCCTTTTGTATTGGATCTTTGGAACTCCAAATGCTCATCCGTAGTTCGCCTTGCGACGTACGGCTCTCCACAAAAACAGCATTGGGTTTGCTTCGAATACCACGGTAATCATTGACAAACCTAGCCTCATTGCCCATAATACTGGCATCCACGCCTACATTATCCCCATCCGCTGACCGAAAAAGTGAAAGATCGTAGTCGGAGTCAGCTCTATCCTGGCAATGCACTTCTCCAATATAGTCAATGATATGTGACCTAGGAAGGATCTTTCGAACAGCAAAAAGGCCGTTCTGTCCTCGTGCAGGGTGAGAAGGTTCTGTGATGTACCTTACGCGAACTAGAGATGTCGAAGGACCTGAAATCGGTGTTTTCTGGGGGGCGGGATTAGTGCCACTGATAAGAAAAGAGCGCACGGGGCCCGGCACAGAAGGATGATAACGGGGGGCGTTGATATACTGAACATGAGAGGGCCATGATGGAGGCTGGCGCCGAGAGCTGGAAGACATGAATATTTTGTTGGCGGAGATTGTCGAATATTAAGCACGTCAAGTTTCGTGTCTTGCACTATCAGGTCTTTCGGCCGCAAGCAGACGAAATATAGAAATATTATAGTCTTGTTCCTTTATTATGGGTTGACGTCTAAGGAAAACAACACCGTGGGTAAACACGAAAGACTTGCACCAAACACCGTTGCACCAGCCTTCGTCCAAGGGCTTTCAATCATCCATTGAACTGCTGATTTTATTCTCATTCCATGGTGCGACCTCCAACAAAATCTGTAGCACGCATCTATCGAGATGTCAACGCCAATTTCGGCCCTGCATGGCATGAATATGGTCAAAGACTTCAAGTTACTTGGCCTTGGTAATGTACTGACGATCTCCGCTTCAGATAACCTTCAAGTGCAGTGGGGAACGCAAGATCACTACGAGATAGTGCGCAAAGTTGGCAGAGGGAAATATTCAGAAGTAAGATGGTCGTCCTTGCATCGATGCAGAAAGCCTGTTTGATCACCCAATATAGGTTTTTGAAGGTGTCAATGTAGTTAATGATGAGAAGTGCATCATCAAAGTGCTCAAGCCCGTGAAAAAGAAGAAAATTAAGAGAGAGATCAAGATCCTGCAAAACCTTGCAGGTGGTCCTAACGTCGTGGCCCTCCTCGATGTCGTCCGAGATCCTGCTTCGAAGATCCCCAGCCTAATAACGGAATACGTTGACAACGTTGATTTCAAGGTTTTATATCCTCGTTTCACTGATTACGATGTCCGCTTTTATATGTTCGAGCTTCTCAAGGTATGTGTAAATTGATCTCTGGTAAATTTTTATACCATAGTCTTTTAGGCATTGGACTTCTGCCACTCAAGAGGAATAATGCACAGGGATGTCAAACCTCATAATGTCATGATTGATCATGAACAGCGCAAAGTATGCATCTTTATCAACCTGCGTAATGGACTGAGCTGGACTTCATAGTGCAGTTGCGGCTGATAGACTGGGGCTTGGCTGAATTCTACCATCCGAAGGTTGAATACAATGTCCGTGTGGCTTCGCGTTACTTCAAAGGACCGGAGCTATTGGTGGACTTTCAAGAGTATGACTACAGCTTGGATATGTGGAGTTATGGTTGCATGTTTGCGTCTATGGTATGACCTTCAGTCTCCTAGGGATCATGATTCGGCCTGACAAAATATGATACAAGATTTTCCGCAAAGAGCCGTTTTTTCATGGTCACGACAACTATGACCAACTGGTCAAAATAGCTAAAGTTCTTGGCACGGACGAGCTCTATGCATATATCGACAAGTATGGCATACGACTGGATCCCCAGTACGACGAACTCCTTGGAAGGTAAGCTTTTCAAATGTGACCACTGATCATGTAGTAACTTGCCGTTAGGTACCCTCGGAAGCCTTGGACTCGGTTCATCACATCCGAAAACCAGCGTTATATATCGAATGAAGCGATCGACTTCTTGGATAAGCTACTGCGGTATGATCACCAAGAGAGATTGACTGCTCGCGAAGCCCAAGCACACCCTTACTTCGGTCTGTGAAACCTTTGCTCGGTCGCTTGTTAATATTCATCTACCTTACTTATAGAACCCGTCCGCAACCCCGTGTCTGGCACTTCTGCTGACGGTGAAAGCGAGGACTCGGGAACATCATCGGCCTGATTTATAATCCACTTCTTTTCATCTCTGACTGCGAAAGTTTTGTATTACTTCCTTTGCATATGATCCTGTCCCTTTCCAACTCGATAAGCGCGTCCGCTGGTGCAAACAAATTGTGTGTCTTCAAGAAATACAGCTTTGCTGAAATCAAGCCATTCCCAACATTATCGATACCATGTCTTGCCATGTGACAGGTTCGCTCCACTTTCTCGATCATTCACGAGTATGGTAATCGGTCCTCTTCAGGCGCTCCATAGTGCCCATCACCCCTTAGCTCCATGATCGACGGTCGCGGCTTTGACGGGATCTGTTCCATTTTTTATATCTTGTACTTCATTTGTTGCAGGCGACATTAGAGGACGTTCTGTCATGGAACTACACGTGCGTAACGGAGGAAGGGTCAATCATTGGGAATGGAGATCTATGAGTGAACTAGACAAGTCCGCATTCCGACGTACGTCAAAAACAAATGTAGTTTTGATCTCAAGAATCACTTTAGGTTAAGATTTACATCGAGATGCCAGCTTCCAGTACAGCCGCGGGATCGGTGACCGTCGCTAATCTGAGTGGTAATATTGCCCTGCATATGCTTCAAAGCTTCCTATTATCTGGTGGCGTGATAATGCATCTCAAGCATAAGGTGAAGTCAGTCCAGACTTTGTCTGGGAAGTTCGAGCCCCTCTGACCGAGTTCAACTAAAGACCGCACTCACTTGGCGCACCAGTACACTGCTGTTATAACCTCCTATGCTCTGGGCCTGGTTACGTGACCGGATAAAGTGCGCCTCTCAGTATCTCATGAGGGTGACATCTAGGTGGTATCAGAAGCTCTCCAAATACTGACTGCCGGTTAAGGTTGAGCACTGGACAAATCCTGCCCCTAGCGGTGCAAGTTCCCTAGCGGTGCGAGCATTAATGGTAAGGCGCGAGGTAAATTGACTGCTCGCTACAGTAATGGCATTCGACACGATTGATCTGCAACCCTTTCACTTCAGGGGAGAGTACTGCGCCAATCAGCAATTAATCTTCTGTGCAGTACCGTTTCCGGCGTTGTATACACTACTGCTACCGCGTTCGGTACCAGGCCTACAGCGTAGTGGCTACTTGACAAAGTTAGCGTACGCCGAGGATGATCAGTGAGAATGCAGCATGCGCTATGCTTATGAGGCCAGGGATGTATTGATATTCCTCTAGCAGTCATCTTTGCACTGCCCTATGAACGGAGGATAAGAATCCAGAAGGTAGGCACGCCTACTGCACGTGTAAAACTTTGTGTAATGCTTCTTGCACTGCAGAGGGTCTTTCGGCACCTGGACTAATGATAGCCCATGCACAACGTTAACGACTCCCGCAGCTTGTATGATCACGATCGGGCACGTTGTTTGCCATGCGTGTAACGTTTGTTTCTCGTGCCTTGGATGTACTGTAAATGTTTAACTCGCTATGATATTCTCTTCAGTTGGGGTACGAACAAATATTAAATGCGCAGGAAGAAATGTGACACAGCGAGTGCGAGTCGACTATGGGAGCTATCAGTGATTTTTTTAAAGTCATCTACGATAGGGTCAGATGCTGCCCGTGATTAAGGAACGATTTATCTTCCTTCCTTCTAATGAATTCTACCTGCGGGACACTATGTACTGCCAACAGGCGAACATCGTCGCTTACTTGGTAAGTATTCAAATTTCAGGGAAAGGCGTCAGATGCCGCATTCATGAAAGAAACATTTAAGAATTTGAAACACAATATATGCGGTCTACCGTGCCAGAAGGGCAAGACAGCAAGTCCCAGGAGTCGGTTTAGAATGACAATGTGCCAGTTTCCTCAACTGTAATAGAAATAGATAATATTTTGTGACAAAATGGCGCATGATTTTTCAAGGAGGTTATGAATCTGATATATTTAAGAAACAAGATACTTCACGAGGATCGCCATTATCACATGTGGGACCCAAAGAACAAACAGCTCACATCCACTAGCCAAACTGAACAACAGCCCGTACTATTTTGCAACGTTGGCAAAATCGTAATCCGAAGACCATGATGGGAAAAGTAGTTCCTTTCCCGGCATTCTGGTGCGAATCATGTCGTGCTCCTGCCTGGTGTCCAGGCTACTGGATGCGCATAGTAACAGAATATTGTGCAGGGTCATTAACATGATTCTGAGGCCGTTGGGTGGAAGTAGAGCGATTACGAGGAATTCGACGGAAAGCCCCTGCTCGTGAGTTCACGGCAGGGGCAACGGGGACACTGGCAAGCAGAGGACCCTGTCTGGCACTTATACTGATTCCGTCCTGCAAAGAGGATCCGGAAGAAGCTGTGCCTTGACTGACGGTACTCGACGTCGGTGCCCTAGGTGTTTCATTTCTCTCTTTCGGTTCCTTGGGTGGAGGCGGTGGACCTGGATCGTAATGAGGGTTGTGGGGAATCCACTGAGAAATCCCAAGGTGATCTAGCACGAAGCCATTCACCACACTAAGGGAGTAGTAATATGGGTTTGCATCGGGCATATCTCCAGCCAAGGCGATCAACCGAGTATAGATAGCATACCCAGCACACGCGTCGTTAGCTGCATCTGCATATTCAAGGGAACATTTAAGAAAGCACAACGTTCGACCACGTTAACACTCACAGTCTTGCTGGATCGAGGAAAGACGGAGCTCCCAATTGCTGCGTTGCACCTTTCCCTTCGCCAAAGAGAAACCCACGTAGGTCTCAAGAAGGCGGGATAACCCAAGTGGGCTGGTGTACTTTCCCTTCCATCGGGCATTATCGACCGAACGAGCAAGAAGTGCTAGCTCTACGCAGTTGCGTGTTGAAACCCCCCAGTCCCGATACAACTTTTGACAATCGCCTAAATACATCATTGTAAGATAGGCTGTGAGTTTCTGGACCCTCCACTTGACGTACGTTGGATGCTAACGCCAGTCTTGACTCGCAATGGATCCCCAAGCAATTCCCTCAATTTCAATGGAAATTCTACGAGTAGATATATTCCGAATTAACTCATAGAGGCTCACTGTTCATTGAATTCTTGCTCATACCTGACATGGCGCTTATTTGTAGGAGCAATATGGTGTCGAAACCAGCAAGCTGAACAAGCGCTACGCGGTTTTCCCTCCCACCCTTCCTGTAGTTGGGGCGCCATTCTAGGTCAAAACCAAGAGGTCCTATGGCCAACCGAGATAACTCGAAATCTGCTTTCAGATGATTTGTGATATATCGAATCCGGGTACGAGCAGGACTTTGATCCCGCCAAAAGTAGTGCGGAAGCTCTGGACGCGAGACTGTGGTTTTAACAGAGCCTTCTGCCGTGCCAGACATCCTAGTTTATGGTATATTGAGGAATGAAGCTGAAGCTTGTTGTGGTCGTGTACGAAAGCGCTACATAAGCGCTTTCCCAGTACTGTAGTAGTATTTCGATCAATTCGACACACCCTTGTGACCGTGACATCTCAGAGGGTGCTTTCGACATTTAATTATTTAATTATTTAATAAGGGTATTCAAAGTAAGATTATGAAAGCTCTGAATTGCTCTGAAAGATGATTTGAAAATCGCTTGAAAAGCTTATTTTAAACTCCGCTCAAAACACTTAGCGTTTCAAATCTTACAAAGTCTTGATATAGGGTTAAGGTTAGACGCGCGCACATACAAAAAAAAGCATGTATTTTGTAGCTAGCAAACAATGATAAAAAGCAATCTACTGGTAGGGTGATTAAGCTGAAGCAGGAGATCCTGTGTCTTCTCTGAAGTGTCACCAGAAAGGATAGCGGCTAGAACGGCAGCACCGTAAGCAATAGCCTCGTCAGGGTTGATGCTCTTGTTGGGCTCCTTGCCATTACAGAAGTCAGGCATGAGCTTGACGATATGGGGAATATGAGTGGGCTTCGGAGCGTAGGGATGACAGGGCTTGGACGCACGATGAGCATACAGGGAGGGGGTGAGGGTGTGGGAGGGGTGGTGTTTCGCCATGCAGAGGGAATACCTACTGTGGTGGTGGAGGAAGCTGGTGAGGCCACGATTCAGAGCGAGATAGGGACTATGGAGGGAGGGGAAGGAGTCAGGAGTATGACAGGAATCATCACGATAGAAGAAGATTTGATGATAGGGAGAGATCGAGTATGCATAGAGCTCCATATTCTCCACGTTGTGGACATTTGCCGTGTCAATCTTGGAGTCCTGGAGAATCTTCTCGATGGGCTCAAGCATACTGTGGAACCAGTCCGCGCACAGCTCCTTGAAACGGGCACGATAAGGGAAGTATAGAAGTCGATATCCTCAAAGAGGGAGTCAATTTCAATGGAAGTCTGGGTGGCCGATGACAGAGTCTGCTTGGCACGCTCGCAAGTGCATAGACAGCGACATGCACGAGGGTTGGAAGGGGATAAGGATGGGAATGGAGGTTGGAGGTCTGGGTAGCCAAAGACAGGGTGCGCAAATGGGCATAAGTAAGGGTCAATTCAATGGAAGTCTGGGTGGCCGATGCAGAGTCCGCTTGGCATGCTTGCAAGCGCATAGACTGTAAAGTCTAGATACATGTCAATCCTCAGTCTCATGTAAGTGACTGTATTACTATATACCTAGACACACGTCAATCTATCGAGGTACCGTTAGTGTCTAGGCGGCGTGTAAGTGATAACGGGAACATACCCTCAGTCTCGTGTAAGTGACTGAGGGAAAAGGGAAAACGTAGGGAAACAAGTATATAAGTGTCTGTGTTGGAATGCCAACAATCAGACTCCGTGTCGCGTCGCATGTGCACATCTGTGCATCAACACTCCTCCTTGACTGAATCACTGGAGGCCAAGGTTACCCCGTAGACGTTCATAGTCCTTCTTCGCGAGTGCCTTTGTGAATATATCGGCCACATTGTCCTTCGAACAAACATAGTGGAGCTTAAGCTGGCGCAGAGACACTCGTTCACGTATAGAGTGATAAGCCATGTCGATGTGTTTGACATGGGCGTGGAAAGATAAATCCTCGGTGAGAACAATAGCTCTGTTGTTGTCGCACATAAGGGGGGAAGCGGAGGATTGGATGAACCCAAGCTCGAGCAGTAAGGTACGCAGCCATTTTATCTCTTTTCCAGCTTCAGATGCCACTACGTATTCAGCCTCACAAGTCGAGAGTGAAACCGTCTTTTGTTGGCGTGCGCTCCACGTCACGAAACCGCTGCCAAGGGTACAGCAGTATCCACTGACTGATCGCCATGTATCCGGGCAACTCGCAAGATTGCTGTCCGTATATGCCAGAAGACGCGCTGTGTGGTCTCCGCCAAGGACAAGTCGCATCTCCCACATGCCTTTAAGATACCGGACCACACATTTTGCGGCTTCCCAGTGTGCACGACTGTAAGAGTCGAGGAACTTGCAGAGCTGTTGTACGGCATAAGCAATATTGGGCCTCGTGCTGATTGCAAGATACATGAGTGATCCAACGAGTGAACAATATGGGGTGCGTGACATGACATCGCGTTCGGCTTCAGAACGAGGGGAGTGCTCACGGTGTGATAGGTGAAGGCCTGGTTCCATTGGCAGGGAGACAGGTACGGCATCCTTAAGTCCAAACTGTACTATAATGCAGTCAATGAGAGCTGTTTGTGACAAGGATATGGTCCGCGCATGGCAATCATGAGCAATGGCAATCCCCAAACAGAAATGTGCATCGCCGAGCTCCGAAACTTGCCATCTAGTCTTAATCTGAGTTTTGAAGTCGGCAAGGACAGCTTTGTTACTGCCAATGGTGAAGAAGTTGTCAACGTGTACAGCGACGAGGAGGACGCCAACATCAGTTCGGCGGTAGTAAATGCAGTGTTCACTCTTAAGTCGGATGAAGCCCCAGGATAACATAGCCTCGTTGAGAGTGCGATTCCAGATAAGGCCACCTTGTTTCATACCATAGAGACCCTTCTGGAGCTCCCAGACATGGTCCTCGAATCCAATCTCGACGAAACCTTCAGGTTGTTCCATATAGCAGACCTCGTCAGAGTCGAGTAGGCCGTACAGGAATGCAGTTTTGATGTCAAGTTGTTCGATTTCCCAGTCTAGAGCAGCGCTGATGTGAGCGAGGATACGAAAAGATTTGAGACATGCTGTTGGTGACGACGTTTTGGTGTAGTCTTGACCCCAAACGGCAGAGTATCCACGGCAAACATATTGCGCCTTGAATCTCGCAGGGTTACCATGTTGATCATGCTTTAGTTTGAAGATGGGATGTCCTTTCATCACTTTGCGTCCTGGAGGGATTGTGGATCAAGGCACCAATTTGTAGACACCGAGGGAACGAAGGGACTCGAACTCCTCCTGCATTGCTGCAGTCCATTCAGAGGCATGTTCGGAGCGCATGGCTTCAGCATATGTAGTCGGGTTGTCCACGTGCTCATTACTGAAGTCGTCAGGGAGTGCTGCAAAGACTTCAGTCAGGTACACAATTTCATTCTCGAAATCAGTCATAGAGCTATACACAACCTCTGTAGTGTAAGCTCGCGCATTATTGAGTGCGCGAAGGCGTTCTGCATCGACCAGGGCATTCAGAGCTGCTCATTGTGTCGCATTAGTGTAAGGGATTCCTTCAGCAGCACATCGACGTTCAGATGGGATAGGATTTCACGATGAACGCCGAGGTTCAGAGGTCGCAGTAGGAGTTGGAGGGGTTGACAGAGGGGGATCATTGTCATTAGGCGCATCTGCGACACTGGCACATTGTGAGAAAGGAGGGGAAGGCACAGTGGGATTCTTGATCATAAGACCAGGGCGTAATGGTGTTTCACTGGATGTATGCGATTCAATAAAAGAAACATGAAACGAAACAAACACTTTGTGAGATTCGCGATGGTAGCAACGATAAGCTTTAGAGTCAAGCAAGTACCCAATGAGCACACATTCCAGTGAGCAGTTGTAGACTTTAGGATTATTATGATTTTGAATTAGAACAAATGCATGGCATCTAATCTCACGAAGGTGCGTCAGATCAGGCTTCACACCAAACCATCGCTCATATGGGGTATGACCATCTTGCGAGGCAACGGGCGTACAGTTAGTCAGGTAACACGCTGTGAGGACAAACTCGTCCCAGCGATTAACGGGGACTCCACATGCCGCGCGCATAGCTCGAGCTTTGCCCATCAGGGTGCGGTGCAGACGCTCCACGCGACTGTTTTGAGCCGACATGTGCGGTGCGGTAAACTGATGTTGAGAACCGCGGGAGAGAAGCCATTCTCGCATACGTCCAGACTTGAGTTCTCCGTTGTCTGAGCGATAGATACCCACTTTCATGCCAGTTTCGAGCTCGTGTGCCCATTCCCAAGCTTGAAGAGCTGGAAAAGCATCAGACTTGGCTGCTAAAGGCACAGACCATGCGTAGGACGAGAAATCATCAATTAGGTCCATAATGTATCTATTACCTGCTGCGGACAGAGTGTCTGGGTGTTCCATGAGGTCTACGTGCACGATGCCCAACTTCCTAGTAGCCCGCTCCCCTACCCGAATCTTCGGAACGCTGGACTTGGTCTGTTTGCCAAGGATACAAGTGTCACAAACGGGAGGCTCAGCAGAGAGATTGATGGGCATACCGGTCGCATTGCCAGAATGAGCAAGGTCATACACCATGCAATAGTTCACGTGGCCAAGACGGCGGTGCCACAATTGCAAGGTGGGAAGGCGTTGAGCCATGTAAGCGTGCTCTGCAGAGAGTTGGCCGCCGGAGAGCGCGTAAAGCTTGCGGGAGGTGAGGGTACTGGACAACATGTGAGTTCCGCTGCAAGCTTGGACCCAACAACTAGTGGCATCAAACGAGGCGACACAATGATGGGCAGTGCACAGAGCAGACACAGAGAGAAGGCGGACAGTGGCAGCAGGGATAAAGAGGACATGCTTGAGGGTAAGATGGATTCCTTTGGCAACGACTAGGCGAATAGTGCTGACTCCGATGGCCTGGATGGAGGAGCCGCCCACACCGCTGACTGTACGAGGAGGGATAGGATGAAGGCTGAAGAAATCTTCGTCGTTGTTGCTGATGTGAACGGAGGCTCCACTGTCCAGGAAGAAGGGCATGACAGAAGGGTCTACTATCGTGCGCTGACATTGGTTGGGTGCTCTATACATGATGCCTGCGAAGTCTGCCGGTTTGGAGTGGTCGCGCCAGTCAATGCTGGTCTGTAAGGTGTCAACTGCGGCTAGGAGGGCCGAGAACTCATCATTGTCGTTTGCAGACAGTTCTTGGATGAATGCCGGGGTCATGGTATTGCACGCAAGGCTGGCAAACTCACAGGACTCAGCATCGGATCATTCGCTGGTAGGAGCAGGGGAGGGAACGGACGCAATGTAAATAGCCTGGCCAGACTCGCCATCAAGCAAGTAGGCACGACCACCTTGATCGTACCGAACACCTCCAGGCTTGCCGGTGGAGGCAGCCCCCTTGGTGGTGGGCTTGCTGGTAGGTCCCCCCTTACCGCTCGCTTTGCGAGCAACCCGCTTGCAGGCTAAGACTTCGTCGTGCTTGCCCTCCATTGCGCCACCCTTGGCGAAACAATCCTTCGCATAATGCCCCCAGCTGTGGCATGTGGTGCAGCAGGAGCTATGGCCCGTTGAAGGTACAACAATTCAGAGAGTGAGTCTGAACAATGTTGGGTCTTGCAGAACCTAGCTGCTATTCGACCCTAAAGGGTTTCTGGACCAGGCTCAAGGCTCAGAGGAGAGGAAATATCATGAAAACTTGCTGAGTACTCTGACTCCTACTGGTAACTGGTGAAAAGATAACTTCCTTATGTAAGCTACAAAAGTGCCAACATAAGGTAAGGTAAAAACAGTCTCTACAAGCCCAGCCAGAAATGAATCCCTACACCGTGTGGCCACACTCAGAACAGGTCTTAGACCGGTTGGACTGAGATTGCTGTCCTCCCTTCCCAGTAGTTACCATAGCGACATCACCCGATCCCTTCATCTTTTCAGTGTCGATGAGTTGTTGCTCAATGTCGAGTCAAGCACGAATGTTTGACGGGCCATATGCATTGACGGAAGAGCTGGTAGAGAGAGCATCTGCGATATGGTTCCGAACATGAGGTAAGTCGTCGCTCATAGCGTTGAGCATCATGATAGTAAGAAAGTCATTCTCCTTTGGCAGCCCGATCACATATATGCATCGGACTAGCTCACCAAGTTGGGTACTAGTGGTGGAAAGGCGCTCGGAGTGACGATAACGAATGGCAAGAGCTTGTTGAATAACAGAATCTGCGTGATGGGGCCAACCTTCTCATGACAAGATTTAAGGGCATCCCAAGCCAAGTATGCATTAGAGTACATGCGGAGGAATTCCTGTTCTTCAGGACTGGAGCGAGTGCATAGAGCAGCGATGATGCAAAGATTGTTCAAGTCCCAATGAGCTGCACTCGAGGGATCAGCAGAAGGATCGGGACGAGGAATGATGCCGAGGATGTAGCCTCCGCCGTGCTTCAAGAGTAAGTAGTTCTGCATCTTATCTGACCACACACCCCAGTTGTTGATGCTACGGTCCAGAACCTCAATCTTCTCCAAGTCCGTTTGGCTAAGCGTTATGGCACTGACAGTAGGAGCAACGACAGTTGTATGGGCAGAACTTCCAGGAGGAGCTAAACTCCCCCCTTTGTTACCTGAGCTGTGCGAACGTGTATGGGGACCAGCGACAGCGGTTGTGTTCAATTTCGGCAGCATGATGGGCAACGAAAGAGAGAAAGAGAGTTAGGAGGGAATCTGTGTCCCGCGTCCCAGATATATATATGTATTTCTTAGGGGGAGGTTGCTTCCTGCCCAAAGAGGAAGAATTTGACGTTTCTTTGAATGCTGATAGAAGGTGATGATTTACATCGCACGCTTGAAGCTTTTAAAGCTCGGCAGAAATGGTCCTTAGGGGTTACCAGCGTCTAGGTGGTTCCGCTCCTCGTTTACAAGAGAGCAGGGCTCATAACCTGTAAAGTCTAGACACACGTCAATCCTCAGTCTCGTGTAAGTGACTGTATTACTATATACCTAGACACACGTCAGTCTATCGAGGTACCGTTAGTGTCTAGGCGGTGTGTAAGTGATAACGGGAACATACCCTCAGTCTCGTGTAAGTGACTGAGGGAAAAGGGAAAACGTAGGGAAACAGGTATATAAGTATCTGTGTTGGAATGCCAACAATCACTCCGCGTCGCGTCGCACGTGCACATCTGTGCATCAACATAGATGGCAAAGTGCACAAGGGTTGGAAGGGGATGAGGACGAGAATGGAGGTCTGGGTAGCCAAAGACACTGGGGTGCACAAACGGGCATGAGTAAGGGAAGTATAGGAATTGATACCCTCAAAGAGGGGGTCAACTTCGATGGAAGTCTGGGTGGCCAATGACAGAGTCTGCTTGGCATGCTCGCAAGCGCATAGATGATGAAGTGCATGAGGGTTGGAAGGGGATGAGGGGGTCGTTGTTCCCTTTGCTGTACCATGAGGTCGCTGCTTGGTACAGCATATACCAAAATGGTAATAATTTAAACTCCGCTTAAACTTCACTTAGATCGATCTAATCAGCAGAAGATAGCAACCTACCTACAACCCCAATGCCTTGCCAATCTCACCTTCAACAACTGCTCAATGAAATAGATACTGCTAGTTTAGATGTAGCCAAAGCCTGGGCCGAACATACTAAGGCAGATGGTGAAGTCTCTGACTCTGATTCTTTCATCTCTGAGGACTCTGTCATCAGGACCCCATCACCACCCTCCCCTATGTCCCCTGTGTCCCCTATGTACCCTATGTCCCTTTACATGTCTGACTCTTTTAATGACTCTAGCATGTCAGAGTCCATCAAAATCCATCAGCATTTCCTCCGTATAATTGGCTCCCTTGCTGCTCTTTGGGAAGAGGTGGAGGAAACACATGTTCTTAACCGTCCAGATGAGCCCCCTATGCAAGCACCACAGATCCAACTCCTTGACCATTTTGCCATTCATCGCCCTGATTTAAGAAGCTACACGTCCCTCCTGAGACTTTTAATGATATCCTCGATCAGATTAGTAATCACCATGTTTTCCACAATCAATCTAACAATCCCCAACTTCCAGTTGCAGTGTAGCTCGCTATCTTCCTTAATCAAGTCAGCCACTATGGCATTGCAAGTTCTCCTGAGGATATCTCCCAGTGGGCTGGGGTGTCTGTTGGGTCAGTCACCAACTGTACCAATCATGTTATGGCTGCCTTGCTGGCAGAGCATGATAATTTCATCTCCTTTCCCACTCTCAACTCTGTTGATGCTGCTCATGCCTGAGCCTATGCTCTCAAAACCTCAGGCTGCACAGAGTGGCAGAATGGTATCCTAGCTGTTGATGGATCATTGTTCAATCTTTATCAAAGGCCAGGTCTCTTTGAAGATGCCTTTTATAGTAGGAAGTCTCAAATTTCCCTCAACTGCCAGACATGTTTTTATTTTTATTTTTATTTTTATTTATTTGAGGCTGATTTTTCTAATTTTTAGGCAGTTATCATGCCCCATAATCTTACTATAGTTGATTATTCTCTTGGTCACACTGGTAGTGCCCATGATGCATATGCATTCTGCTCTACCCACGTCTACCAGAATCATCAAACACTTCTAGGTAACAACCATTGGATTTGAGCTGATAGTGCTTATCTAATAGAGTCATGGTGTATTCCCCCATTCAAGAAGCCTATTGGTGGGGCCTTGACCCCTGAGCAAAAGGAATTTAATATTGTCCTTTCCAAGGTATGTGTCTTATTTTATTTTATTTTTCTTGATTTTTCCTAGTGTATATTCACATTTCTTTTAGATTCATGTACAGGTAGAGCATACATTTGCTGCTCTTAAGGGCCATTTCCAGTCTCTTCAAGAATTCCGACACCCACTGCAGAATGAAGAGCATCTCAAGTATCATCTCTATTGGATCATGTGCTGCCTCATCCTGCACAACATGATCATTCGGTTTGAGGAACATCATAGCATCTCTGGGGGTCCAGATGGTACTGAGAATTGGGCCCTTAGGAGGCAGGGGTTAGATCTTATACCACCTCTACAGCCAGAAGACCCTGACATTAGTAAGGTGGGAGATACCTCATCTGAAGGTACCACTGGCCACTAAGCTCATGCACAGTTGATGGAGTACTTATTGGGGTAGAGACTTACAAGACTTACAGGAAATAGGAAGGGGTCAACAAGACTAGTGTATTGGTAGCATATGAAACAAATGATAGGCATGTACAACATATAACAAAGCATGTAAACATATGATGCACCCTAAGTGTCCAAAATCATGAATACAAACATGCAAAAAAAGACTGCTACAAGACAACAGTAAAACAACAACAACAAAAACACAAGCCTAGTTAGACTCCAAGCCTCCCTTCAATTTGAGAAGCTCAATTTTGAGCTGGAGCGCAGCCTTATTTTCAGCATGGACTTTGGCTTGGGCCTCAAGGATCTGAATCTCCATCAACTTCGCTTCTTGAGCATGTTGATGAATGGCAGCAGCCTCGCTGCGTTCAAGGCCAGCTTGCTTGCGTTGGAAGTCGATGTCGAGTTTATGAGAGTAGGAGTTGACCTTTGCAATTTTGTATTTAGACTTCACTGCCTTCGCAGTGTAGACGTACTGAATCCCATCAGCAAGAGATTCAACTTGCCCACACATGTCCCTGATGTCAGATTGGACCTGGTTTGAAAGGTTGGACTTCTTGTACGACCCACTCTGTCTCTGCATGGGTGGTGTCAACTGTTTCGAGGACAGGCCCGCATGTGTGGATGATGATCCCGTCGATGATGATGTGACAGATTATGGGGGTGAACAAGCGTATCCGTGACTCATTGCACGATCTGTGTGGGACTTGAAGGTCCCATGAGAGGTGGGTGGGCGTGTAGGTGGTGGTGAGGGCGATGTGAAGGGGTGTTTGCCAGAAGCATGGGGCTGCATGCCACCATCCTCCTGGCCACCCAGCCCAACGTCCCATTCATTGTTGTTGTCCATCATGTTGTTGTCCATCGTGTATCCATCATTGCCAGCGGTAAGGTGGGAAGTGGTGAGGTTTGGGGGGGGGGGGCATGGTTAACGGCAGGGGTCAGATGGACAGCAGGGTAAGGATGGATGGTGGGGGAAGGATGGACGGCGGGGTAGGATTGACGGCGGGAGAAGGGTCATCAGTCGTCTCCATTGTCTCATCTTCAGCTTCAGAAGGGGGGATGTATACCTGTTTACCCTTGCACTTCAATGTGAGCGCAATCATATCACTTGCATGATCTGCCCCTGGAGCAGACAAGAATGTCTTGGGGGCATATGTGGGGTTGTTCTTCCAGATGCCATTGAGTACCTCATACCACGGAAACTCTGAGATTACTTGCTCTAGATGTGTTTTAGATAAATTCATCAAATAAAAATTAAACAACATACCAAGAAGATTATTGCTAGTGTTAGGTTGAGACGGGTCAATATCCATACTGGTCTTGGAGAAGCGACCATGAAGCTTCTTGTATTTGTTCCTAAGGCTAAAAAATGCAATGAATAAATACACATGAAGAGGGGAAAAGGACGCACTAAGTCAAACGATTTAACATGGCTTGCATGAACTTAGCTGGCCCCTCAGAATATAACATCTCATATTCCCCATCCTTCTCAGATACGCAGCGCACTGTAGGACTTGTAGTCCTTGTAGCCTCGTAGAGGCTATTTTTGCAGTGTTCCTCTGGCCCTAGCGCAGCACGTGCTATCACTACCACGGCGCGCATTTTTCCTATCGTCGGCCGATGGCCGCGGCTCATGCACGCACTTTGGTTCACATCCGCTTTTTGTCAGTTCCATTGTGCATCCTTCCTCTGTCCTATCCATGTCCTCCGCTTGTCCATTGGTGCGTATTTTATCTCATTCGCATTAGACTGATTATATTTCCGAAGGTGATATCGCGTATGTTTCGTCACTTGCGTTATGGACCCTTAATATGTATTACCGCTATCTTCTCGGTTCCGAACAGCACTACATGTGCTATCATATATACTTTAGACTTAGGAATTTTTCATGTATCTTCTTTTCCCGCTATCAAAATTATCATCCATTTGCACGCATCACTCAGACTCTAAGTCTAAAACCTTCAGCCGACTACATCGCGCGCTGTATTAATGGTCGTGCTATAACGTTCAAACTTCGCTCATTGCATACATTGCCAGACTCTTCTCCCGCTCTATAGTTGCATTGCGTCTCTTTTGCATATCCGCTAAGGGCGCGTTCATAAATCCATCGGCTTTCCTCCGCACTTTCGCGCTCCAGCCAAACTTTCGGCTGCTCGGTCGCACATTGTATCGCACCTTTGGTGGTTCGCCTGCGCTCGCATTGCACCAGCACAATGTCATGCGCTCTTCCATTTTTAGCTACTCTTACTAGTTTCTAAGTTTCCCCTCCATATATTACTTAGAGGAATCGTTCTTAGTAGCAATCCCCTTGGGCCGAATCTATACTTGCGTCCAGAGGTCTATTTGAGTTTTACCCCACTTCACCCTTTCCCCCCTTTCCCCCCTTCTCATCTAGCTATCATTCCTCACACACAGCGCAATCACCACATAGATCTTGGATTTGTTGCTTCCAGATGGACGACCTTGAAGTCGCAAGACAATATCTCATTTGTCGGATACCTCCTCAGATCCATCTCCAGGAATAATCACAGTAATTGAATCAGCAGTGGGAAGATTATATCTTCGACCATCTGTGCCCTGCTGAAAGTGAATACATGCACAAACTTCTGTGTGCTGCTCTGGAGGCTTCTCTCTCATAACTTAATAGGCCTGCTTATAAAGAGTAGCATATGGATGACTTCAATAAAGCATATCATGGAGCTCTCTGAGAATACGACGATCAAGGCCTTTGTTTCCTGGTTGGTTGGCATGGATGTCAGTGGCTTGTTCAGCATCATAAATGTAAATTTGAGTACATGAAGGCTGAATACCTTCAGGGGTAATCAGGCTGCCCATAAGGTGGTGAAGAGATCTATGGATATGAAAAGCATTTGGGCCAGAGCCTTGAAGGGCCCTATCCTTGATGGTGAAGCCTATGGATGTGAATGCAAGAGCACTGTTGTACTGGTGAATCTTGGAGACCAATGTTCTGTTTCTATATGCCTGTTGCAGCTCGAGTGGCCATGCTGGAAAAGGAGGAAGGTCGACTTTTCCCTCCAAGCAGCACATACAAAACCATGGATTTTGTGTAGATGATTTTATGAGTCTTTTACATGCAAAATGCATGGCATGGCAGTTGGGGCACTCCACATTAAGAGGACCAAGAGTGTGACGATCAATGGGCTCTCTGTATGGGTGAGCTCCATCTGGGATAGGAACATTTCGGACAGGCACATGGTTGATATTTTCATCATCCTCTGCATCGTGCTGCCAGCGACGTTCTTGCTCTTGAGTTCTTCTTCTTTCCTCATCATCTTCATGCTGCTGCTGAGAAGCAGGATTATCATATTTGTGCAATGTCTCTTTAAGATGCTCCTGTTGCTCACGATCCCTCTGCTCCTGGTGATGTTGTTTCTCTTCTACCTATTGACGTGCTCACTGAATATCCTGAGTCTGTCTATTAGCCCGCTGTCTTGTTACTTAAGGGTCTTATATAAAAGTTGTGTATAATGACAACACAATTATACACAGGGAAGACTTCTTGCCAGTCCTTAAGTCCACGGTCTCCGACTTTTCTACTTCGTGGGAGGTAACGTGGTGAGTTCTTGGGAGGATTTAGTTTGTTGTCCTCTTCTTGTGTAGTCTGATACGAAGTGTTGTGGAATGTTCTGTGTTCTGGATAAATTCGTTAGGTTTGTTTCAGCCTAGTAGGTCGTGTTTCAACCTATGAAAGTCTGTTTCAACTTTGTCGTCCTTAGATATGTGTCTCACTTTTCGTTGAAAGAGAGAGTCTTATGTATACACGTAAAGCTTAGAATGAGAGCTGTTCAATGGTTATATAGTCAACCCCTGTAAGGTAGTATATAACCTAGAGTAGAATAACGATAACGAAAGTTATATAGTCAACCCCTGTAAGGTAGTATATAACTTTAGAATAGAATAATGATGTGTCTTAGTCTTACTTCAAGGCACGTTGCCTGCACTTTTATTCTTACGTACTCTCACACGGTTTGAGAGAAGAATGAAAAATGGGAAGTTTTATTTCATGGGTGAAAATGGGGTCCTTTTATACCTTTTGGAATCCCCTTACTAAGCATGATTCTGTCAGATGGATTGGTAAGAATGTGGCTTACAAACCAGGTGATGAATCAGCTTTTACTAATATACATTATAAATACTGTGTAATCTTACAAAGAAATTACAAAGCATGACAGAAAGGTGCTGACTCTTCTCAGGGATTGGTCATGCAGAAGCTGACAAACCAAGCCTTTGGGTGAGCTGAATCATCCTTCTTACTAAGTACATTACAAACAAAGTTCAGTGTCTTACAAAGAACTTACAAAGCATGATCAACCATAACTGAACATGTTGAGTCATGTTTAAATGTTGTTACAAAGCATGACCAATCATGACTAAACATGTTGAATCAGCTTTAATAATGTTACAAACCAGATTATTTCCCAGTCACATGATGTGATGACAAATAAAATCTGGTGGCTGAAAGAAGCCAAATAAAAGTAAACAGTCAGACATAAACAAAGAGATACAAAACTTTGACAAACAAATCTGTGGCTGAAAGAAGCCAAATAAAAATAAATAATGAGAAATAAACAGAAGGTCACATGCTCATAAAAATACAAGGTAAAATAAGTCTGAGAAATAAAATACAAGACAATGAAATAGAGGAAAAATAGAGAGGTAACTCAGTGACAGAGGGCTAGACAGTCTCTCATATCTTCCTTATCACTCTCTATATATATCTGACATGGTATGAATCACATACCATGCATGACACCGCTTAGCTTCCTGCTGCTGCAATTGCAACTGAATCTGCTGTTGCTCAGCTTCCTGCTGCTGTAAATGTAGCTGGATCTGCTATTGATGAAAAGCCTCCTCCACTTGTCTCTGCAGCATATTATATCTAATGGGCTCATTTTCCATTTGCTGTTCTTGAAAATGATCTCGAAACTGAACATTAAATTGATGATGATCAGGTTTGAGTGGTGCATAAAAAGGTGGGGCAGAATCATATGCAAAGTAGTGGAGGGGATTGTCAATGTTATGTGGACCAACTGCGCCCTCATAATGAATAGCATCATATACAGGAGGAGCAGGTTGAACAGGTTCATCAGGAATGTGAGGCGCCTATGGAGGCTGCATCCCAGCTGCCATGAGCACTCCTTGCACCTGCTATCTTATCTCATCTCTGTCTTGTTGCCAACAATGAGCACATTGATGGTGTCTGTTATTATGAGCAACATTCACTGGCTCATTCAAGCGTGCATTGTAATCAATTAGAGGAACATGATGAGCACGCTGCACATGTGCAATTGCATTTCATGGCAAGCCAGGATATTGCCTGACTGGTAGTGGAAAAACAATTGCATTTCGAGCGGACAAAAGGATTAAGTAGTAGCCAGCAACAAAAAAGTACTAGCAAGTAGATCAATATGAAGCTAAAAATGAGACATTGTAGTGCAACAAAATGAATGGTATAATGACATTAGTAGTAGCGGAGGCAGCAACGAGACAGCATGTAAAATGACAAATAAACAACCTTGAAAGTACTAGTAACATCGAAGCTCATAGTCAGTTGAAAAATAAACTATGAGAGTGAAGAACATTACCTCTAGCAAATGAGCACTTGCTCATCCTCAGATTCTTTATCCACATCCATCCACATACCACGCCTCCTCATGGTGAGGCTCTGCATGAGCTCTGAGTTTCAGATAAGGACCAAGTCTGGCAAGCATTTGATAGATGTCATGTAAGCCCTCATGTGCGCACCCCAATTGGCTTCTGAAAATGCCAAGGTGACACTGCTCTGGTTGCCTGTGGATAGATTGACATCCAGCGGGGTCTTGTTTCCCTGACTATTGCCAGCAGTGTTGATGTCTCCTAAAAGCATGTGTCCATTAACAAAAAGCCTGATGGCACGTTCCATCTGAAATACAGGGTAAGATAAGTTAGCCATATGAGAGGGTAGAAAATATGTGCTGCTGCTGTGGCAAGACTAAGAGCACCCTGGCATTGTATTGTTTGTACTCTTGTGCCCACTTATTTTCCACTTGATAATCCTTAGGAAGATGCTTCTTTCTGTATGCAGAGCATGCAATTGGCTTGGAGGGAGTGGAGGACTCAGACTTCAGCCGCTTTGATGGAGGGGCTTTGAGTATGGCAGCAACATTGGTCTAATATCTTGTAATCAGTAAAATATAGTATGAGACATTAAAGTATACTATAGAGGTCACCTAGCATGTGAATACTGGGTCAACAGGTTTAGTCTTCATATCTTCATTGGTACCCTCCACACCTTTGGCCTCAGATGACAGCTCCATTATGTTGTCATAGTCCAGAGGAGGTAACAGCTTCCGCTTCTGACTCGCCAGAGAGTCAAAATCCATGGGAAAGATGGAGCGAGACCTAGATTTTTGGGCAAGGAGAGGAGGTTCAAGGTCAGAATCATAGTCTAAGGTCTGTAGCTTGTGATAGGCATTAGAATCGGCCTCATAGTCCCATAGGAAAACAGATTGAGTAGCAGGGTTGGAGCCATCAGAATCTAGAAAGTGGCCACAAATGTCTGCGAAGATATTGATGTTATTGGCATCTTCAATCGGATCAGACTGTTTGGTTGCACTGCAATGGGCACTGAATTGGCCCATCAGCCACTATAAGGTGTTAAAATGCTGTACATGTGGGCCCAGTATGCATATTGCTTTCTGGAATGCATGACAGATGGGCTAAACTAATGATTGCAAGAAGAGTTCCCTCTGGATGGTTCCGGAACACATAACAGATGAACTCAGCTGTGTATTTTGAGCATGTTTGGACTCCCAATGTGAGAACGATGGTCCTAGAAACATGCATAGAATGCTTGGAATTTATTGCATACATTGCATTGATCAAAGTGCTGGAGAGTGCATTCTAGAATTATATGTCTATTGTACCTGGGAGGGTCTTGTATGGTTCTGGGTGACATTTTATACTTTTGGGGACACTAGGAATGGCCGTTTTATTATCTATCTTCTTATGCACACCATTTGTACCATCCAAGCACATTCAAGTTTCTATGTCCTCTAAGCACATATCTTTGCATTTGTTCTCATACCAAATTCAACTAGCTGGTCAATTACAATATGCATAAAAAATCAAGTCAAATTACATATAACTGTGGAATGTGAAAGCAGGAAACAAGATGACCTCATTGTATGCAACTGGTAAAGACCCACCCCTCTAATTTCGTAGGTGATGTGGTGAAGAGTAGGCAACATGGAATTGAATCCTCATCTAAATAAGGAGAGTCCGGGGTGCAGGTCAGCTTCACACTGAATGCCAATGTCGATGTTGGAATCCAGACCCCATCCGGCAGGCTAGAAGGGTGCAAGTAAGACCTGGACTCACTGAGGCAGAGACGACTTACTCTAGTTTCTTTATCCCAGAAACCTCTATCGTCCAGTAATTCTGTTGTGGACGTACCTGCTGATTTGGCATTTGGAGCCACAACATTGAATCTCTTGACTGACAAAGCCTTGTGCTATATCAATTTCTGGTGAGCAATGAACAGATATGTACTATTAGAGTCACCTTGACAAGAATGGTACCAGCAGCCCTGGCATCCTCTTCATCTGACATAAACTTCTTCTTCCATTTTCAAATTGGCTTCTGGGATATGAGTGCTGTTGTGAGTCCGCTTTTTACTTCCACTTCTTTGCCATCATTGTTGCTCTCTTCTGCTTTCCTTTTCATCTTCCTTAGCCATGAGGTTGTCTCCAGTTGTGTCTTCATACTTCCAACCATAGAGATACTGTGTTTCACCATCATGGGGGTGATGGAACATGGAAGGGGGGTCAGCGCCTCCAATATTAATGGCTGAGCGGGGCTGCTTTGGATGTCTGATATCATGGGTTCCATTACCGGAACCCCCAAGGTTTACAACACGGGTGTGCTAGGTAGCGCTTTATTGCCAGCCGATGAAATGGATGGTGTCACCTTCGATGAGCCAAGCTAAAGGGGAATAATTGCTGGGATGGATTCTGCAATAGTTTTTGCCACATTTTCTGGGACTGCTGCTGCCAACGCAGTGGGTTTGGATTTGGGAATGGTGGAGGGGCAGTAGTCCACAGTCTTGTGGAACCACAGGTGACTCTTAATGCGCAGGTCGTTGTTTATGACAGTCTTCAAGTCAGGCAATGACACAAAGATGCCAGCCTTGGAGTGCTCCCGCACTACAGTGGCACAGGATAGCAGCTGAGGGGTGAACAATGTCGCGCTCCCCCCATAAAGCTTCAAATATTTTGCCTGCACCAAATTTAGTTAGTTATCCCAAAATATGGTGTATATCTCATGGAGCGAAACTCACCAGGTGTCTGGCGATCTCATCCGATAATGTCAGTGTGCCTGGATCACTTTCCTCTAATTTCATACAACACTTCATCAATGATCACACAGTCTCGAGCATAGCCTGGAGAGTGTCGTTTGCAATTTCCGAAGGTGTCATAATAGTGTATAGAAACTAGTGAGCAATAGTGTCTTCTTAGATAGATGTTCTATAGATAAACACCTATAAAACCAAATATCTCCATGGTCAGCGATTCAGAAAAATACCAATGACTGATAACGTGGTCGTTCGTGGGTGGCTTGCCTTGCTCCTAAGATACAGTCAGTAGAATATGGCTCGCACAAAAGTCAGTAGTCAGCGATCAGCAGTCAACAGTCAATCCAACAATATGGATATGAAACACAGCGATGAGAGAAAACACAGAACTCGGTTGGTCAGCGATCGACAACAACAACAATCACAACAACACAGACAACAACAAAACAAATCAGGAAACACAGTCACTCTAACAGTATAGAGATGACACAAACTTAGTGCAGCAAGTTGTGTGGAGTTACAATGAGAGTCCCCCTCAATACAAAAACAGGTGAAACTACTGTCAGGCCTAGTCAAGCCTTTGTAGCACTCTTAGCCTAATATTGAACCTGCTGCCAAGGAACTCACAATGAGTATCAAACAGACTCAGGAATGGGCGACCTTGGACTTCAATACCAAGTCCCCTTTTCAATAGCTAAAGTCTAACTCACAAATGACTACCCTTTATCGGTATAACACACAGATGTAAGAGGTCAGGTATCACCATCAACACCTAAAGTCTCCCCACTAGACTATCAGAGTCTTCCGTGGATAAAAAGAGACAACACCAAACTTTTGGGTAAGAATGAGACTGAAACTTTGGTACTTGAGAGAAAGTTGATAGGTTGAGACAACAACAAAACAAGACTACTACAACAGAAAAACGAACACGAACACGGTCATGGAGACTGTTAGCAACAACGATCACAAAGCAAACAGACAGTGATCAGAAAGATGGTCAGCACAGTCAGTCACCAACACACCACACACACTTGAGACAGAGAGAGAGAAAGAGAAAAAGAAACAGAAACACGAGTTTCAGTCACGAATCTCAGACACAATCTCAGAGAAAAGAAAACAAACACACAGACACTCAGATAACCAGACACAGAGATGGAAACAAATCACAGAGAAAATCACAGACAGAGACACAGACAAAGACACAAAAAGAAACAAAGAAATTCAGACAGACAATCAAGAGAAAAACAAAAAAAGAAAGACTAGTCTTGCTAGTCGTCAGACACAGTGAGCTCAAGGTATGTGCTAGATGTTCAACACAATGAGCTCAGAAGAGTGGTGCTGGTTGTTGAGCACAGTGAGCTCCACCCTTGAACTGCACTTTCCTGGTTGCTGATTCACACTTCACTCACAATTTTATTCTGAGAGGTAAAAACAGTGGGGAACTGCTTATTTTATTGGGCAAAAAGCTGGTCCTTATATAGACAAATTTGGTGGCTATACTACTAGTTTCTCGTACTTAAAGTTGTAACTTTAGTTCGTTAGTACCAAGTCACACGGTTTCTTTGGGTCATAAAGTAAATATTCATAACTCTAGTTGGTATAATGATCAGTCAGCAAGAGCTGTGTATGGCCCATGGGTCAGGTGACCCTTGATGACTTGGCTAGACATGAGTGAGAAATGATTACATATTGTGTACATATGTTTGTGAAATCTGTGGCTGATGAATTTATTGGTAGCATAATGACATAGGATATGTATTTAGCGATTTGTAAGCTTTCCCACAGGGTAACCTTATGCAAACATATTTTTCACAGTCACCTGATATGTGTGAGAATCTAAGCTGAGCAACAGGAAATTGATGGTCCTGGTAGAGCTTACCTAAGCTTATTGGCGCACATGCATGGTCCACGGACGGATGAACGACCCCAGGTGCAGACGAGAACGTGACGAGGAGACAAAACACGTCGAAAAGGTCGAAGGGTAGTGTAGAAGCTACAGAGCACGTATTGTGGTAGGTAGATTGAGTAAATATCAATGAGAGGATGCGTTTTTGAACGTGTCAGGATTCGAGGTTGACATTCCGACAAGGCAAAGTGTGACACCACGTTTAGCCGACGGACTGTGAATTTCTCATGCAAAACTGTCAATCTTTTGGCTGGCAGCAGTCTGCTGTCGGTCTTATCTTCGTGAGGCTCTCTGCAACAGCAACAGGTGCAGCCGTGTGCACTCGAGAAATTGACAGTCTCAATGCCGCCGCCAGCTTTACAGTCTGGGTGGCTAATTGCTTACCTAGTACATATCTGCTTACTCCATCCTCCTCCTCTCTATTCTACTCAACGTCACCTGGCCCCTGGCTCGACGACGGCTTTCTCATTGTCATCAAACCATGGGTGTTCATCAAGTTTGGACGGTACATTCATGGCTTATGGTGTTGCGGAGAAGTTTTCATTTGTTTAATTTTAGTACTTAAAGCCCAGCGTGAGAACGAAGTCACTCACGGTGCTTGCCCTAGAAGGGAGATATGCAGGATGTCCTCCTTTTCGCCCCTTCATCATCGGGGTTGATGTCAGGTGAGTGCGCTATATACTCAGTCTAAGCTAACTGGTCTGATTGCCAAACCTCATCAGTATATGGTTTGAGCAGTGCCAGCAGGTCATGCGTGGCCGAGCTCATGCATGGAGTGGCCAAAATCCTGCTCTGCGCACCTTTCTTTTTCGGACTGCGAGACTGAAATGCTTCCTGGTTCAGCTTGTCTTTGCCTACGACGGACCTGAGCAACCAGCACTCAAACGAGGAAAAAATGTGGCCACCGCAAAAGACCACTGGATGACGAAGCCTACCCAGCAAATCCTGGATGCATTCAACATCCAGTGGTTCATGGTAATTTCTTTTGTTTTCAATAACAGTCTTCAGTGACTGACATTGTATTTACCTGTAGGCAAGGGGTGAGGCTGAGGCCGAGCTTGCTGCTATGAACTCTGCGGGCGCTATTGATGCGGTGATGACTGATGACAGCGATGTGTTTGCATTTGGCTGTCGCTGCGTGATTCGAAAGTAGGATATCTGCTTTGTGTTGTCGTTTGGAGCTGTCAACTTGGACTGATTTTTTTCGTAGTTCTTCCTTCTCAGACACAACGGCTAGTGTGTATGAAGCTGCGATGCCCCGTGAAGACTATGCCCTTGTCAGCCTTCTTTGTGGGGGCGACTATGACATGGTAAATATCTTGCAAGTATTCAACAATCTATTGCCTCACATTATCTTGTAGACAGGCCTGCCTGGCTGTGGTCCTGCAACTGCATTCGGGCTCGCACGCTGTGGTATGGGCAACTCCCTGCTTGCAGCTGAGTCAGGCTGCGAATTTGCTGGTCCGCACCGTCAAGCATGGCGAAATGATGTACGACAACACCTCCGCTATGACCCAACATCGCAAATTGGCCGGTGCCACCCATCGTTGGCCGAAAATCTTCCTAGTGAGATTCCGAGCTTCGACACCTGGTCTGCGTACCTCCACCCAGCTATCCACGAACCTTTGGTCTCCGTTCACGAGCCTGGTGTCCCAGATGCCAGAAAAATTGCAGCTGTGGTGGTCCCTCTATTGGGCTGGGAGGATGCAGGCCACCTGCTCGACACATTCCGTGGTCAAGTCTGGCCAGGTGTTGTGACCAGTGAATTGTTGCAAGACCTCAGCACCTGGCAACCGATCAACCAGGATGTAAGTGGAAGTCACTTGAATTGTGTGCAAATGACTGACAAGGCCATACAATAAGGTTGCACTTGCAGGAGCTGCAACTCGCCACTTCTTCCTCCATTTTGTCCAGAAGCCACAGACTGTAGGTGAAATCTGTGGTTACAATGTACGGATGCCTGCAGATGCACTTCTAAAGGAGACTTTTCAATATATCACTGATTTGTCAATGTCTGAAGGGCTGTTAAAGCCTTTCCGCATGTGGGTACCCAAGGGCATCTACAATGCCTGGACTAAATTAATGTGGTCCGAGTTGTTGTTGTTGTCATCAACCAATACTGTCGGCGAGTCCTCCAAGACACCTGCAAAGTCATGAGAGAAGGTATGTTGTCTATCATAACACCCTTCCAACGCTGCTCAAGTTGTTCAACCAGGAACACTCTTCTGAGTGCGAGGTGGTAGCTGGTCCCTTGTTGCTGGACACCATCGATCTGACCAACAACTCAGAGAGTGATGATGAATGGGTAATTGACCTTACAAGAGATTATTTCAGTTGTAGTTCTGGTTCCAAGAGCAGGGGGAAGTCAAAAGCCCAGCCGATGGACATTATTGATCTCACATAATTCTCACTGGTGACCATAGTATCTGCATGTATCATATGAAAATTATTCGACTGAACAAGTGTGTGTTATAAGCTAAGCACAAGCACAGGTACGACCACAGGTGGGGCAAGGATCATGTCGAGGACGATTAGGGTTAAAGTAATCCTCACGTTTGACAAATGGGCTATCAGTCCAGGACAACAAATATTTAAAAATTGTACTTGGGTTGTCGAAGTTTTCGGCCCATCCCCCATGTGCAAATGTTGCGAAATGGCCAGCGTAAAACCATTGCAAGGTACTGACATCCACCACGGCAAAAAGAATGTGTTCCATATGGGCAAGGATCAATACCAATGTCCAGAAGGTTGTTTCGGAAGCACTCCAGGAAAGACTCAGATGACTGGAACCACCAGGTAAGTCAATCATCTACACAAGAACAGCTTTTGACTCCAACATACCATAGCATCTGTTGGGTTGACACTCACCCCATCACTCCCCACCTTTTTTCGGAACACGTACCCATCAAGATGGTCATTATTTTGGCTTGCAAGAAGCCACCATACTGCAAATGCACAGATGGGGCACATCCATGGCTTGTGAATATCAGCATACAAGTAAAATGGAGCTATTCCTAGAAGCACATTATGTCAAGAATAAAGAGCTGGACCAGTACAATATGTCAACATACCACCATGTTGATGTGTCTTTCAGAAAGGCAGCATCAGCCGTACACAGAAGTCAGACCCTTTGAATATCCCCTGGTTGAATATTTTTGGAGTGGCATCAATCCAGTGACCTTTGAGCAGGGGATCCTGGACTTGGAAAGTGACATCGTGCCAAGTTATTCGGAGAGCTTCATCAAAGTGGAGGAGGCAGAGAAATGACACCAGATAGAGGAGGATCCCTGCACCTCTGCACATCCACATCCGCGCATCCATGTCCAGATCCCTTTACCTCCGTACATCACACCTCCATACCTCTGCAGCTAGCCTGCATCATTCATCCTTTGTCCCATCACCCTAATGTCATATCCCATATATCCACGCGTCTCATCCGGACGTCCGGTCCAATCCGGTCCAATCCAATCCAATCCGATATACAATAAGCTTCCTAATTCATTCCTGTGCATATAACATTAACACAGCCTATTCCTCTATTCGGTATTCCTTGTCCTCGGTATCTCAGTTATACTTACTACTGGTATGCTTACTGATCCGTTAACCTATGCTTCATTTCCGACTCGCGCTTGATAACTTTGCTTATGCTTCATACATAGCCTCGGACACTTGCTTACTGATCTTTCCGTTATTTCCTTAGTATATAAACTCTTGTATATGTCCTGTAGTTCCTCAGTCTGAATATCATATTAGTCCTCGCACTAGATCTCACTCTAAGTCCTCACATCAGTTCTAGTCTATCGACTTAGTCAATATCCATCTTGGGCCTAGGGAGAAATTCCCTAGGCCAGAGCTCTGCTTATCTGCTCATCCGATCCTCCGAAGTTTCCGGACGTTCGTCCGAAACTTTCCCGCGGTCCTCCGGACCTATTCTGCCTCGGACTTTGTCCTTGCAGCCTTTCCTCTGTTTGCTTCTACTTAGGACTTGTCCTAAGTAGCCATTACACGTATCCGTATCAGGACGAAACCTCATCATAATTTCCGGAAGTTCCTCCGGAACTTTCCCGCACTCGTCCGGAAGTTACTTGCACTCGTCCGGAAAGTCCTTCCAAACTTTCCCGCGCTTCGGACGTCCTTCGGACGTCCTTGGACTTTCTTCAGACATCATTCTGAAATTAAGGGCACATACTTGGGTAAGGGGCGCAGCGCACGAGCTGAAGCCAAGCCCCTCGGAATCAGTCCTACCCTTTGTGCATGGTCTTAACAGTGTTTCCGAGCACACATGGCCATTATGGAAGCATGGTGCTGTGGCCCTGTTAATACCATTGTCACGTAATACAACTTCTTCTATGATCATTGTCCCACACATTCCACTGCCACAGTGGCACAGTCAGGTGATCCACATATGGAAGTATATCTTGGCCCATTGTAATCCTTCCCTGACCTCCTTATTTTACACAAAACAGTCATGTTTGGAAAGCAAGTTCACTTTGCTACAGCAGTATATTCAGATGATGGTGACTCGGTCACCAGTGCCACTTCTGACAGTAGCTATGTCAATTCCTCTGACTCCCACAGATCTATGTGTAGCAACTCTCCAGAGGTAGCAAAACACAAATTCAAAGGGCCCCTCGCCTGGTGGAGGGGATATACCCCATTGGACTTGTGGATTCCACCTGTGCCTTCCCAGATACTGAGGTTTAAGGGCCTGATTGGAGTGGAACCTTATATAAGGTTCAAACGTAAGTCGGCTGTTGAAGCTTCTGACCTGGGATTGCTGAAAACTCTTGCAATGATATAAATTGGCTGACAAGGTATGGTGGAGCCAAGAGTGGACAAATGATCCCATCACAAACAGGGACATAAGTATGTTATTCTCTGGCTGTTATGCACTCAAATAGATCTGTTATGCGGAGCCCTAAGAGGGGTGTTGTCCACTAATGTTTGTGACATAACCGGAAGAGTCCAGTATAGCAAGTGAGGCTGGCGACGTTGAGTCGGCAGATATCACAGACGTGCGTGTCATGTGACTTCTGAGATGGATGTCTTTGAAGTCACTGAAGTCAAAATAAGGACTGTCTTGTCCGAATGATGACCATCGATCGAGGTAGGCTTAGGCGCAACGAGCACCTAAGAAAAGTTGTACTAGAGACAAGAGCTGAGAGGCTCTTGAAGGAAGTAGTTTCGAGGGAAGATTGAGTAGATGCAAGTTAGGGAATCTAATACAGGATGTCTGACTACTTATACTAAGTGGAAAGGGTTGAGAGCTGGGTTACCGATGTCATGCATGGTATGTGATTCATACCATGTCAGATATATATAGAGAGTGATAAGGAAGATATGAGAGACTGTCTAGCCCTCTGTCACTGAGTTGCCTCTCTATTTTCCTTTATTTCATTGTCTTCTATTTTATTTCTCACTTTTCAGACTTATCTTACCTTGTATTTTTATGAGCATGTGACCTTCTGTTTATTTCTCATTATTTATTTTTATTTGGCTACTTTCAGCCACAGATTTGTTTGTCAAAGTTTTGTATCTCTATTTATTTCTGACTGTTTATTTTTATTTGGCTTCTTTCAGCCACCAGATTTTATTTGTCAGCACATCATGTGACTGGGGAATATTCTGGTTTGTAACATTATTTAAGCTGACTCAACATGTTTAGTCATGATTGGTCATGCTTTGTAACAACATTCACATGACTCATCATGTTTTGTCATGATTTGTCATGCTTTGTAAATTCTTTGTAAGATTACACTGTATTTGTAATGTACTTAGTAATAAGCTGATTCATCATCTGGTTTGTAAGCCACATTCTTACCAATCCATCTGATAAATCATGCTTAGTAAGGGTGTTCCCAAAAGGTATAAAAGGACCCCATTTTCACCCATGAAATAAAACTTCCCATTTTTCATTCTTCTCTCAAACCGTGTGAGAGTACGTAAGAATAAAAGTGCAGGCAACGTGCCTTGAAGTAAGACTAAGACACATCATTATTCTATTCTAAAGTTATATACTACCTTACAGGGGTTGACTATATAACTTTCGTTATCGTTATTCTACTCTAGGTTATATACTACCTTACAGGGGTTGACTATATAACCATTGAACAGCTCTCATTCTAAGCTTTACGTGTATACATAAGACTCTCTCTTTCAACGAAAAGTGAGACACATATCTAAGGACGACAAAGTTGAAACAGACTTTCATAGGTTGAAACACGACCTACTAGGCTGAAACAAACCTAACGAATTTATCCAGAACACAGAACATTCCACAACACTTCGTATCAGACTACACAAGAAGAGGACAACAAACTAAATCCTCCCAAGAACTCACCACGTTACCTCCCACGAAGTAGAAAAGTCGGAGACCGTGGACTTAAGGACTGGCAAGAAGTCTTCCCTGTGTATAATTGTGTTGTCATTATACACAACTTTTATATAAGACCCTTAAGTAACAAGACAGCGGTTCCACATCTCCAATGAAAAATGTCAGATCATGTCGTCACCCTTCTTTCTCGCGATCTTGACTTTGACATCGTCTGGAACACCTTGACTATTTCACTCATCAGCTGTCTCTTTGGCTTGTTCAAGATCTTCTGGTGAAAGTGATGCCATCAGGCGGTTTAGGTGGACTGTGTAATGGTTCATCATCTCCTTTGTTCTGTGTTTGGCACCAGTCTTGTCCTCGATTTTTTTCAAGAGTTCCTTTTTCCGGAGTGTGTCTACGACACTTCTCTCGGTCCATTTCTGCCCCATCTTGATTGGGGGTTTCCCCAGTTTCTTCACCTTTGCATGGTTGTGGAACTATGTCTCATATGTCTGAACAACAATGAGGAGCGCATCATATACCAGAAAATTAATGGCAACACACTGCTTTACAAGCCTTGAACAGTACAATTGACATAACTGGTGCTTTTGTCTGGGCTTCCATTGTAGCTGCTTTCAATATATTCTTTCGCTCCGATGCAGCAGCAGAGCGCCATTGCTCAAGGTAAGATTGCAGGACAGCAACATCTTCTTCATTTGCTGGAGGTTGTTTGTTGGACTCTGAATCAGAGGCAGAGTTATGGTCAGACATTATTGAAGGACAAGGTTAGATTGAATGAGGTCTTATTTAAAATATTGACCTTTACTTAATTTACATTTCACTTCAGCTATTAAGCAAGCCAACAGTTAGCATGTAAATTTTGCTCGTCCTAAAATTAACACAAGTTCCCAGTAACTACATGGGCAAGTCTAGGGTAAGGACATTGGCTCTATGGAGAACAGCACAATGGGTGACATGGAAAACAAAGGAGACCACTTGTGGCTTGAAAGGGAAGTGATGCCCAGTTAAACCTAGTCAGTCAAGCCCATCTGTGCAATCATCTCCAGCAAAGTCTCCCAGAAAACACCATTCTGATTGTGCATGGGATCAATCGTCAACCGATTTCAATGCTGACTATGAGGACTTTGGCAATAAGGAACCAATTGGTGCCCTCAGCTTACAGTCAGGAAGAAAGAAGACAAAGGTGTACTACAATGTTCATGTCATGCATTTTGCACTGACCAATGTCCTAGAGCCCAAATGATTATCTCCAGGAATGGAAATTTCAGATGGATGATTACCTCTGGATCCTCCATAAATAAGAGGCTCCACCAGCAGCTAAATTATGCTGCCTGTGCAGCACTGAGTCAAATGTGTATAGGTGCCATGACTGTCTCGGCGACCCATTATTTTGTTTGAAGTGCTGTAGAGATGAGCACTGGAGACTGCCCTTCCATAAGATAGGGAAATGGAATGGGGGATTTTTTGAGGAAATGTCTCTAACTAAGATAGGTATGGAAATTTATTTGGGGCATCAGAGAAAGCCTTGTCCAATACTTGGGGATATCCACGAATGGGAGGACACCGACGAGCCAATATATCAACTGTCAAAGGACCTCCCTACCATACTCGAACTTCCATTCTTGAATGGTAAGCAATGCATCACCATTGTTGACAAGTCCAGAGTACATTCGCTCATAATATACTTTTGTCAATGTCTGAACACTTGCACTGCTGACAAGCAATTATTTGAGATGGGCATGTTTCCGGCATCCTTCACCCAGCCAAAGACTGCATTTACCTTTCCAGTGCTGGATGGTTTCACCTTTGACAACTTTGAATGTGGAACCTTGGCAATGAATTACTACAACAAGTTGAGAAAAAAGACGTGAAGTATATTTCTGCATCTAGTCCCAGTACGTGTTGCACATAGAAAATCAAGGTTATGAGAGCTCAATTCCCCACAGGACCATTACAGAGAATTGATGAGGGTAGCATGGCAATGGCGACAGCTGACACTGCTTAAATGGAATGGGTTTGCTTATGAGAGAAGACAGCCAACATCCGGTGAACTTGCTCTCTTTTGCCTGGCTGGCCCTCAACCCGGCATCAATGCCCCACTGCCAGCTGATAGGAATTCCGATGATCCCAGTTAGCTATATGCCCAATCACTGGTCATGGACGGCAACTTCAAAGCAGAGCACCTTCATCCCACTCACCCAGAAGATGAAGTCTGGTTGACTGATGTCCAGTGCTTCATGGTTTCCAAAGACCAATATAAGGCTCATCTAGCCATTGCCAACAACATTATTCAACCATCCGAGTGCAACAATCACCGAGCCATAAACCAGGCCAATGCTTCCCCACACACACTCGAAGGTACCAGGATAGGCAGGTGTGTGTGTGTCCGCCACAGCTGTTTTGTGCCTCATTCAGTTGTGGATTTTCAAAAGGGCAAACAGTATGTTTCAGGATCCCACATATTTGATTCATGGGGTGACATCTGCCATCAGGCAAATGAATATGGACTATGCCCTATGTCACACATTAAGCCACCACACGGATGGGCTCAGTCAAGCTTTCACATTTTATAATATTAATTGTCAGTATAACAAGCACTTCTGGTGTCGGGTAAATGAGAGTCTCTATTTGAGCCTCCCTTTTGGAATGGAGATCATACCAGGAATTGGCCTCTGGCATGTTCATGGACACCAAGACAAATGCTATGTTTGGTACACATCAACATTTATCACTGGGGCCGCTAGGATTGACAGAGAAATTATGGAGATGTTGTGGGCGCCTCTAAATATTATATCTCCTGCTGCAAGAGAGATGTCAACCCCCCATTGGCAAGAGTGTCTCAATTACCAGATGAATGACTCTAATTTTATGAAGATGATTTGCATGAGTTGAGCTATAAATCTCCTTAGTGAGGACTTTCTAATGACATCATGCATGCAGTTTTCTTTGCCAGAAATATAAGGAAGCTATTAAGGGTGTCACAGAAAGCGCCTCTGCTTTTGACAAGCTCAATGAAACCGCCGATCCTATTATGGTCGCAAAATAGGAAGAACAGGACCAATATGCTCATTCATGTCGAGTCGCCGATCCATCGGTGATGGATGTATTTGAAGTACAGTTAAAGAGGGGTGAGTTTCTGCTCCCTCAGCATCTGGCCCACACAACTGATTACATTGATCAGCACCAACTCAGAAGCAACAGGAGCTAGCTTTACTGTCCTCCTGGGTAGGCCAATTGGGTGGGAATCTGCAATGAGGTGCTGCTACATGGATTGCATCTGGCATCATCATCAAAGAGATGCAGATCACACTCACTATGGATATTTGGAAGCTCAGCAGACACCTCGCAGAGACCCAAACCTTGGACATATGCAGATGCTGGACAAAATTGCAAAGTCGGATAGATGAATTTACGATCATGGTGGGCACTCATCTCAGCGAGGGCTTTGACAGTGATGATGAAACCAGATATCTTCACTTGGACCTCATAGATGACGATTCAGAAGATGAAGGAATGAATGGCAGTGATACAGAATCTGAACCCAAAGCACATGGATGTCAGCTGCAGGATCTCTTCTACCCTGAGAAGACCGTGATACCTCTGCCATCCAATATAGGTGTAGCATGCTGTACAGAGCTGGGAGTTGAACACCTCATTGGTTAGGAAATTGCACTTTGGGAAGGTCAGGCCAACGATGCCTTGCAAGCGATCAGAATGCATCTACTGGATAAGGCTGTGCTCTTTTGTACCACTGTGCATCCGGTGGAATCACAAGCCAAGTCAATGAGGGCATGGACGCAGGTTCATTCAGTTGAAAGGGTCATCCGACTCAACACAATAATTTATATGAAATGTCAGGCACAACTCGGAAACCTGGAAGCTCATGGCCTACTTAATAAGTACCTCTAGATGGAAAAGTGCCATCTCAAAACAACTGCTGCTATGGCGGACCCAAATGCCCAGAGGCAGCGAAATGCAACTCTCTCATGGTTCTGGTCTCTAGACATGCAAGGTGATTCAGTCAGCAGTGATTGGATGAATGATTGTATGTATGTCCCTTGTAATCCGGGTATTTTGAGCTGAGGCTCAAGACACAACAGTTTACAGGGTTCATTGGCTTCACATGAAAGCATTACACGACCCACTGCAGGCATTTTCCCATTTTCCTCCACCAAACATCCAAAAAACATTGATTGAGAAGATAGAAATTTCCCCTCATTTTGCCTGTCAAAACATTGAAAAAAAGTAATTCATGTTTCAATGATTTTTTGTGTGGGACATGATGGTAAAATCAATCATGTTCCTTCAAGGATAATGCTGTATTTTCCATCTATTGTCTTTTAAATGGCAGCTTACAATAATGTTAATTTTCTGCTCTGTGTTCTGTGTTCATCCTCCCAGTGCAGATCACGTTGACCAGGATGGCCGCTTCAGCACCTCAATTGTCTGATGGAAATCCTCAAGGGTACATCTCTATTTCTGACATTGTAAGGTCAGGTCACTTATTGTTGAGTTGCACATGCACTTCCAGGATGAGCTCCAGATCTATGAAGATGGGACTTTGGAAGCTGTCTTGTCGGTGTGTATTGTTGATAATGTCCTTGATCTTTGGTTTCTCATGTATTTTTGTGTTCAGGCCTATTCAATATCGATAAAGCTAGAGTACAAGTATCCTCGATATGGCATCACCCCATTCCCGTTTGGATTCTGTCAATATCATACCAATTTGTACACTCACTTGCTTTCGTCTTCTTTGTCTCGTTATTTATACCCTATGCTGTTAAAACACAACACCCACTCCCTTCTGCCTCTGATTTTTGCATCTCTTTTGGCCTAGCCATACCTGAGCACTCTTGCGGTCTACATACCCCTTCGCACTTACAGTCTCTTCTAGATTCTTACACACTGCTGCTGCACCCTATCTGGTGGGAAAGCCGGCCACCAGTAGAGAGCACTTGAAGGTGCTATGGCACAGTGATTTTTCAAGCCTGCTCATGTGAGTACCATCCTTGCCAACACCTGTTGCTGTGCACATATGGATTCCCACACTGTCATGGACACAGATGCCTGTATTGACATAGACATTTGCACCAACATGAAGTTCTGCATTGATGCCTTTTCTTTGTTCATCTACTGACTGAGATAGCCCCTGATTAGTTCCAACATTTAATGATCTGGAAATGCTGCCAGGGGTAACTGCATTCATGCTCGAGAGTCTCATGTGGAGACCTCTTGGAGGTACGTCTTATTTGATTTGTGACACGATAATGAATGACCCACCTTTCACTACAGGCATTGCGCATTGGGCGACTAAGGCCATCATTCTGGTAGGACCATTGGTCAGTAGGCAATCATTTTTGTCCTCTCACCTTTGAGTCTAATGCTAGTGTTTCAGGGCTATCGCAAACAATACTAAGATCTTCCTGGAACCATACACTCATTTCATATATAAAATCATATTAGGAGTTATCAGTTACATAGGCGGCTACATCTTGTTCAGCCGCGCTTGTCAAATGCATGCATGACTGCTACTACTAGTAGAATAATTGCAATGCAGTAAAAAAATTGTATAAGCTGGGCAGCAAATAAATAATGGAGTTTTGACAACAAATAAGTTCTGGCCTGTGGATCTGAGCATAGGGTTTCAGAACTCTCACATGTGGAAATCTTCGGGAAAATGAGTATAAGAAATTTAATTGCAACCTGACTAAGATGGGTGAATGCAGGGCAGCAGACAGTCTGGCTTGCTCAAACATGCGGTATCAGTTTATCTGGACATTGGTGGATAGATTATTAGTATTACATCCAAATGCATAGGACAATAGTAGAACCACTCCTGAGTACAATACCGATACCACTGATCCACATTTCCCTATCCACAAGCCACAAGTCACCAGCATTACTCACGACTGGATTGATTACGATCCAGACTTGTCAGAATTTTCTGAAGTCAACTTCTCATAACTGCCATATTCACTCTGTTCACTACCGTGTTTTCTTTTGAATCAGAAATCATGGCCATGCCTCCGGAAGTAGCAAATGATGCCCTGAATGTCACACTCGCTGTTGTGCAATCACTCATGAAGCGCTTCATCAAGGTGAAGGAGGGTGATCCCGAGGCCTTAAGGCTGTCAGACAAGATTGCCAGGCACATGGTGAGTGTTTGTTATGTGAATTCTCCTTGTTAAACTAAGACATTTGACACAGGCAAAAGACTTAAAACTATACAGTGGGAATGCTACATCATTCTCCCCACAGCTACTCTCATTTGCCACCGTTGTGAGACAGCACTCAAAGGGTGGGGCCTTTGAAAACATCCCTGACTGGACCTCCATCACCAACAACGACCCTCAGATAAAGAGCCATCCACAATTCAAGAAGACCATGGACTATCGCCCCCCTTCCACACTTAAAATTTCTACCATCGCAACATCGACTGATATTCCCGCTACCATCCCAATACCACTGGCCCCCATTGTCCCGCCATCGACTCCCTTGACTCTGCCATCTATGCCATTCCACACAGACCCAGATTTCATCACTAAGCCAGTAGTGGAACCAAAACGATGGTTGCGGGAGCGCAAGAACCCGCCCGTTCCCAGGTACTCTACAGCAGGTCCACCTGCAAGATTCCACCACCTGTATATGACCAATGCTCAGAGGAAACAGGAGAAGGAAGTTTTGCAGGTCGGCAGCAGCAAGAAGAGGAAGGTGCTGATGGGGCCATTGTGGTTTCCAACAAGAAGAAGAAGTTCATGTCTGATGTCAAAAAAGAGCCAACCGGAGTCATTCATGTGAAATGAAGGGTATGTCCATTCATCTTTGGTTAGGCATCTAACAGCTTACTGCTCCAGGAATTACTGCCTGTCACTACTGACAAGGACATTCCGCCAGTCACAGACAAGGGTTTCTGGGATGCAGAAACTTGGGTAAGTGATTCTCAGTTAAGCATTGTGCAGACATTGACCCATTTTCAAGCCTGCAGAATGAGGCTCGGATTCTGATGTCGCTACTCCGTGGCAGGTAAGTCTTTTTGTACATTGTTATAAATGCAGGCTAACAAATTTGAAGCATTTCATTCGTTACCACCCCCGGCAGTGCAACAAGTGTGCCAAGTTGGACATAGCCTGCCTTGTCCTCCCTGACAAGAAATTTGGGTACACACACCTTGCCTGCGCCAATTGCAACAACATGAAGATCACGTGTGCAATCAATGGTGTTGGTGTCTGGCAGAGGTTGCAAGGTAAGGCGGCGAAAGCATCCTCTGACGCGCCCAAAAGCCCCAAGAAATCCAAGTCCCGAGTTGTCTCCAAAACACTCGTGGCGTGTCCTTCTCACTCTCAACGGAGCATTGTTGTTCACAAAGGTACATTTTCTGGTGGCCTCGGAATGAGTTGAGCTCATTGGATTTTGTAGGGGTGGAGAAAAAGCCCATGGAGGTCCTTCTGGGTTGGCCTCAAATGCAGCCGGAACTTGGGCAATCTGCACCCACCAACCTGCTAGAACCAGAGCCCACTGCAAGAGAAATCTTACAGGGAATCCAGGACCTTGGTAGGAGATTGGATCTCCTTGCCACCAATGGGCAGGTAGATGCTGTAGAGGCTCATATGTCTCATAGTGCGATATTGCAGTGTTCACCAGGGAGTACACAGCATGAACTTGTAGCATCAATCGGTATGCTACCCACAGCTATTCCTATATGAGGTGCAGCCTTCCTGCGCATTGCGCAATGTGTGTGCAACTTCCCGCGCTTTGCATTGGCCAACCAGTAGCACCTTCAGCACCTACTTCTAGATCCTTGCTGCACTTGCTTGCACTTTAGGGTCAAACACACTTGTCACCACAAGCATAGCGGCTTAGGCATGCAAGACCCAATACATTGTTCAGTATCCACCCATCTGAATTGTTGAACCTTCAATGTGTTGGAGGTCAGAGTGGGTTTAGTTGAGACCAACCTGCTTAAGCGGTTGGATGAGTTAGAGCAACGGCTCAATGAATCTGATGCCCAGTGGAAATCTTTGGAATCCCTAGGATAGATGGAAGTTTTTATTATGGCTTTAAATATTCACTAGTTATATGGGATGGATCTAATTGCAGGACTCCCGCATGTACTGTAGATATTCTGGAGGACTGTACTATTAGAATATTGCATGTTCAGCCTGGCACTGCATTTTTATTCAAGTTCAATTCATTGAGTCCATGCATATTGTTTGGATATGGTATTATTGTCAGATCTTTATCAAATCATAGTACTGCTTCATTCTTACTAAAAGCTGGGACCTGAGCATATGCAAATTATATTTACATAAGATGATTCTACCGGCAAGTGCATCCAGGAGTACAGTGGATGAAAGCATGAGCCGCACAATCAGCGTACTCTCTTGGTTCTGCAAATCACTGTGATACTGGCCAGACGGCACCTGCATATACCCAATATTATTTAGCATCATACACAGAGGGTGCATCCGGAACTGATTATGATTACCCAGCATGCTAAGTGGTGATGACCTGATATGTAGTTGTATGTAGGCGGCCGCCAACTATTGTACTGGATCGTCAGCCCAGCAGATGATACACTATATTTCACCAAGGCACAAATAGGATGTCAGAAGTGCCTGGCGGACCTATCATTGGGACCTTGTCAGGGGTCTGAGCCCATCTGCCACTCTGCCCAAGCACAAAATACATGTATGGGTGTATAGATGTAATATATTATATCGGAACTCATTAGGATGCCACATGTAGATGCAATGGTTTTGCCTGCCATGCTGTAGCAGTCCGACACTAATCTGACAGACCCGATATTTCCCGTGCATCAGACCTGATATTTTCCTGCGCACTTGTCTTCCCTATGTCCTGTCCTGTTGTATCTATTCCTACTAGGTGCACAGTTATCTGTTTTCACATTGCTAAACACTGTAGACTGCATTATCACATGTCCACAGTACCACATGTCTTATTACATAGGACATCGGATCCGAAAATTACTGCTACTACTTTCGCCTATAGCACTCCGAAATTCTACATAGACACTATATATGTCACATACCTCCTACTTACTTATTTACCTTTCTACCTCCGAGTAGGAGGAGGTCATTTGATGTTTGTAGTTCTTTGTTGAATTCCGCAATATCATCCTTTCATTCTCTGAAAACACTCTGAAAAGACTGACAGTAACCTGCCATTCACTATCCCTGACATTCGTTACATTACCGACACTAATCCGACATAACCCAATGAAACCCACTAACCTGAAACCTGAAAACATCAGACCTTCCATTTTTACCTTCGGACTTTGTTTCCCGCGCTTCGGACTATCTTCCTTTTAGTATCACTGATTATTCTATTACCTTACAGCAAACCCCTCGGGTCGAACACACTTGTCTTGCAAGTATAGCAGACTAGGCTGTGCAGACTGCAGCCAGACCAATTTGTTATATTTGCCTGATGGGCTCAGAAATCATTGCTCTTGCAAGGGATGATGGATGGCTCATGTTACATACCAATCTTTTTACTATGTGTTTGGTTTCGGAATGTGTATGCGGTCAATAGGAATGGATGCCGGATGGGTCTGCACATCGCGTATGCATGGCTTATCCATCCTAGGCTATTTGCATACGTGCCAGGCCCATCCATAGCCCTTTTCCAGCATGCAACATACATGCTGTATCCATCCATCGCCATTCTCGGGAGTAAATACACACAAGTTGGGCCCACCCGTCGCCTTCTCCGAGACCAAATCTATAGGCTTTCCAAGTACGCATATGCATTGAGCCCATCCACCACCATTCTCAGCAATACACGAGTGCTGGGCCCATCCATTGCCCTTTCCAATTCCAAATACATGGGTGGAAGGGTATATTCCTAGGACCTTCCAAGCACATTCAGCCCATCCACCACCATTTTCATGAGCAAATATGTATGTTCTGGGGCCCATCCATAGCCTTTCCCAAGATTCCACCCGAAGCTAGTGGGTTGCCTTTTTAGTCCAATATGTGGGGGGCTGTGCCCATTTTTATTCATGGGGGACTGGACCCATCTGTCGCCTTTTCTGAGTACAAATACAGCGGACTGGGCCCGTCCATTGCTGTTTCCAAGTCAAAATACTCGGGAGGTGGGCCCATCTGTCACAATTTTCAAGATTAAATGCAGATACACTGGGCCTATCCTCGAGCATGCAGGCCCACCCGGTCGCACATTTTGGGCCCATCCATTGACCTTTTTCCAAGTATGCCTATAAGCTGGGCCCATCCATCAAAATTTTTGCAAGTCTGCCTGGCTCATTCTCACCCTCAAGCGTGCAGGCCCACCCAGTCACACATTTTGGGCCCACTCCTATGGATCTCACACCTCAGCCTAACCACCAACTCCACTGAGATATCATCATCTTCAACTTCTACCATATCATTATCTGAATTTTTGGATTCAGAATCACTGATATCATATTCACTTGCAGAGTCATTAGTGTCAACTGACACACCCATATGACTCATGAGAGTGGAAGCTACACCTATTTTTAGTTGAGTATTGCTTCAACTCAATCTTAAAGAGGCCACACATATGGCTTCTCTCATTATGACCACCACCTCTGATTTCTTTCTGTGTCTTCCATTGTAATACTCTGAACCTCCCTGGGCAGCAAATAGGCTATTTTCATATATGTGTCAAGGAGTATAGAGGAGTATAGGTTTCCTTATCATTGTCTATCATTTGTCCAGCAAGTAACCTCTGTGTGAGGCCAAACTTGCTTTTCCTACACTTAGCACTGTAGGGAATGATTCCTGGCTAGCCTTGCAGAGACTGTTTTTACCTTAGTGTTATGTTTGCACTTTTGTAGCTTACATAATCAAGTAATCTTTTCATCAGTATCCACTATGAGTCTAAGTTGTCAGCAAGTTTCTATCATATTTTCTCTTCTCTGAGCCTTGAGCCTGGTCCAGAAACCCTTTAGGGTCGAATAGCAGCTAGGTTCTGCAAGACCCAACACATTGTTCTGAATCACCATCAGAATTATTGTATCCACAGCGCACTCACTTATCCGCTTTCCTGCACATCAGCCATATTAGATGCATGTTCCTGTGCTTCAGATACCTTGGAAAAATATTAGGAAAGTCCCTTGTCCATTCATAGTTCATCTAAACCCCATTGGTATGTGAATTTCCTTACCTCAAGGCTTGTAAAATGTGTTGCAGCCTTATTACATGTTCTTACATATTTACTATATTTTCTATCCCTTCCTACTCTGAGTAAGAGTCTAGACAGTATAAGTTGACTATTACTTGGGACTACTTATTACACTTTCCTCGTACTGTATACCTCTTCCTATAAGTTTGCCTTTGAAGTAGTCCCTTGTAGTGTGCACTTTTAGCCCCTATTAGGTTCCTTATATCTGGACTATACCTAGATTTTCCCTTACCTCACAATATACCTTTGCCCTAAACCTTGTTCCTTGACTTCCCTATATCTTATCTGCACTTTCCCGCACTTTCCACACCTCCAGCCATGTATTCCTGCACACATAGCCTTGGATACATTCCTATACCTTACACATACCTGTCCACTATTTTCCTACACTTAGCATGCTCTCGGGTCGCATATATCCATCATCGTTCTAGTAGCAATTCCCTTTAGGGTCAAACATGTCTGTTTAGACATAGCAGCTAGGCATAGCTTAACCTGATATTTTCTTGCCACCCAGCAAGATTGTTGTTTACACACTGTACTGACTTTGTTACAGACACAGATGAAAGCTCAGTCACTGTTGGTGCATGCTTGCAACTATTGCTGGTTGTATCATTCCAGACTAACATAGGTAAGAGGCTGTTCGGCAACTAGATGTTGCCTAACATTTGGCAAATGTCATGTGAGGATTCTCGGCTTCAAGTGTCTCAGTCAATCGTCGGAGCTCAAACCTTACATCTCATACCTGTACATCTACCATGAACTCTTATCTTATTGACTGCTCTCATCAGCAGAGACTCTACACCTCTGTTATTGCACTCACTGCTCTTTGTGCTAGCTTTACTACAGTCCTCATGGCTCAACCTGAAGTAACATCGATGTCGGACAACATAAAGGCACACTGGCAAGACACAGAAGTGGACCTTCTACTCCAACACCTGATTCAGAATCGGGCAGCAGGTGGTGATGGTGGGAACTTCACGATGCCCACCTTCAACAGCGCAGCCACTGCTATCAACGACAGTCATGCAATTCAAACAATAGGCCCTCCGAAGACGAGCAAGATGGTTAAGACAAAGTGGACATCGGTATGTGATCATTTCTTGAATGATTATAAGTTTACGAGCATGTTTTAGCTCAAAAAAATCTACAATCAAATAGAGATCTATCGCAACGTGTCTGGTTTCCATTGGGATAATGTGCGGGGGGCCAGAATCAGGGGGACAGCTGCCACCAGTGTTTGGGATACGTATGTTGACCCCAAGGTATGTAATTATAATCAATTCTATTGCATTTGACTGATGCCCAAAAGTCACGAGTTGTGATGCGCCCCCTTCGCAACAAAGGGTGGGCTCCATATGACAACATGCAGATGATCTTAGGCGATAATAGTGGCGCTCGTGGAAGGCATGTGTTACACCCGGCTACTGCACCCCCTCCATCTGTCAATACCACAGATGATGTGCTTGATGTTTTTGACGGAGGCCTCGACCTTCTTGAGATGGATGTAGACACTTCTGGAGCCGCTGCCCCCAGTGATGTGCCCGGCATGAGCCCTGACTTGATGATGCCACCTAGTGCCCAACTTCATGGAACCTCCGCTACTACTCAGGCTGCTGGCTCACAGTCCAGTAAATGCATGTGCACTGACACTTTTGTCGACTCTTCATCTCAACGCACTGGTGCCCCTCCCACATTCATCAATCCTGTTCCTCTTTCATCAACATTGGTATCATTACCAGCTCCCAAGAAGGTGCGAGTGTCAGCCCAAATTGGCACGCAGCCAGAAATAAATAGTGCTGCAAAGTTTGCTGTGAAGATTACTCCAGCAGTTGCCATCATGAACATGCAAGGT